TGGAGTAAGTTTAGAGCATACCGACGTAACAAACCGACGCAGTGGCAGTGACGTGCGCGGTGTGTATACATACATGCCCCAGCTTCTACAGCGAGCCTATACGTCTGCGCAGTGACGCAGTGACTCCCCCCAGCGCGTGCTCACGGGTTGCTACGTGTTGCTACGTGTTGCTACCGGTCACGCGATGCCACGGGCAAGACCACACGGCGTGTCTTCCCGGAACCCACTGTTTCTTCGTCTCACACCACCGCCATATTTTCCGCCTACAACCGCCACCGTCTTCCGCATACACACGCTTCCACTCTCTCCTCTGATCACCGCGGATACCATCACGTGCACTTGGGTCGTTTCAACAGTAAAATAACGGTAAATAAACATAAATTGCATTTACTAATAAAGTCTTAGTGTGCACATACTCTCTATCGCCTTTCATGTAAATTCCATGCAAATGCCCCTCTGCATCACACAATCTCACCGCTGGTTCGCAACTGTGCACAAACTCACACAAAGTAAATCCGGTATAGTCGGAAGTATTTCTGTGAGGCTGTGCGCAATGGCGCGCGTGAGGTGGCATTGTGTTGCAGAAGAGCATTTAAACGGCATTTACGTGGAATTATTAAGCGATAGAGAGTACATAAAGAGACTGTGGTATTGTAAATAAATTTGGGCTTATTTACTATCATTTTACTATTGAAACACTATTTGGATTACGCTGCCTCCCTCTTTCCTACCGCAACCTCCAGCCTTTTATACATCCGATGGCACCTTCTACTCTTACCCCACCTCCACCTCTTCTAAATTCACCCCTACCTCAACCCTTTCCTCCCACCCCTGCTTCCATCTTCTCATTTCACTCCCACCTCCTCCTCCCTCCTCCCCTCCTCCTCCTCCCTCCCTCATACCTTCTCCTCATCCTACCCGCTGACATATCGACTCCGTCGCCCACGGCAGCTGCTACCGGTGGTGCGGTGACGTCAGCCAATGACAGTCACCACCCGCTACCTCGCCACGCAATAACGTCGGCGCCCAGTGTCTCACGATCAATCAGGTGCCAGGTGGTCGCCTCTGTTAATAAACCGGGTGCATGTACACGAGCCACGGACGTGTGTGCTGTATGAGCGCGCGCGCGCTCGCCGTCACTCCGTTCAATATGTAGCCGCGGCGCCGGCTATGCCTCGGTACGACAGATATCACTGCTTCGAACATTAGTTCGGGTGAACGTTTGAGCAATCAAACCGCATCGCGCATGCCATTTTACACGCTACCGCCACTTAGGCTTATAGGGTCTATGTCCCCCAGGGTACTGCCGGAACGTACCCTGGGTACGGTCCGGTATACGCGGAACGTACCCTGGTAAACTATCTGATATGGTAGGGGTAGGGTTAGGTTAGGAGTTAGGGAGTAGGGCGTAGGCGACTCGGCCTAGACCAACCACGCTGGAGTAGGCGAGGTACGGTCCGGAATATTAGATAGTACCAGGGTACGTTCTGGCAGTACCCTGGGGGACATAGACCCTCTCAGCGTCACTTAGAACAGCATTCAGTCAGCTCACGTATCTAATCAGCTAGATGGAACGGTCCTCACGCATGCACTGCAACACAGAAAATCATCAGAGATGCTATAATCCTCACATATATAACGTAGTCAGGTGGCTTAGGCCCAGATTTGAGAAGGATGGGGACTGCCGGATAAAAGGCAACCAAACCTTTGCAATATACTATCCAGTGGCCATAAGGTTTTCAAATTTTTGATAAGGAGGCCCACTTCAGCAAGATAGAGGGAGGCGGCCATCAGTCACGTATCTAATTCAAGCCTAGAATGGAACGGTCCTCACGCATGCACTGCAACACAGAAAATCATCAGAGATGCTAATCCTCACATATATAACGTCAGTCACGTATATAACGTATATAACGTATATATAAACGTATATAACGTATATAACGTATATAGTTACCGTATATAACGTATATAACGTATATAACGTATATATAACGTATATACACATATATAACGTATATACACGTATATACACATATATAACGTATATACACATATATAACGTATATACACGTATATAAACGTATATAACGTAAACAAATGTGTGATTGAGAATAACGTTGGCCCGACGAGACATCATGGCAAGAACAGCGCTATTACAATTCCCTCCAATATTGCACATATCTGCCGGGCTATAATTATATAATATTATGTTAATATAAGCGAACACCGAACCACTGCGTTTAATCTGTTCTGTGGTGTAGAGCTCGGAAGCAAACCCCAAATCCCATAGCTCCCCCAATCAGTAAGTTCCACGCACGATGAAGAATTGTTGAACTATTGAGTGGACACATCGCGCGTAAGAAAAGGCCTATCTTGTGTATGGGCTTCTGCTACCTCACCCCACGGCCAACCCAGCGACCAATCCATATTACAGATGTTCACAGGCACTCACACCTACATATTTAATATGGAGGGAATACCCTCAATAATAGAGAAGGAAAAGGAAGGTATTTGGATGAGTAATGGAGAAAATGCGGCCGTAAAGGAAACTAATAGGACTTCCAAATGTTGGACAAACAAGCCATTCTAGACCGCGTGAACTTACCAAAGCGAAGTTTTGCTATATTGATCAGCTGTTGAGCGTTACAGGTAATGTTAGGCAGGCATGACCAATGCTATGCAATCCTACATGATGTGCTGCTGTATACTCACAGTATAGTGGCGGTACTGCCCGAGGTTGCGATACAACGGAAATGTGGGTATTCACAGCTCTGGCACGTCAAGTGGAGACGCGAGAAACTTCACATACACTCGGGCACGCACATACGCACGCGCACGCACAAACAGACAAGACACATGCACGCACAAAAACGTGCGCAAGCACGAACGCACAAACAAGCATGCTAACACGGGCGCTACCTGTCTCATACGCACACAAGAATCCACCTACAAACAGTCTTATACACAGACACACAGGCTAAAACACAAACGTACACATTTTCGAAAAGTGCTGTATCTGCACATTTGTAGACGCTTTCGATACGCGTATTACGTAAAAAAGGCGTATATATTTATCCATCTATTTACCTATCTATCTATCTATCTATCTATGCATATATATATATATTATATATATATAATTATATACACAAGGCCTCACAAATAAAACACAATGTAAGTGCTTTACAGTGTGGCTAGTTCCACAGCAAGCTATGGCTGCGGGGTATTAATAACGCTCATAGGGTTAGGGTACTGTGCGAAGGGTCAGGAATCTTATGTCCCCCAGGGTACTGCCGGAACGTACCCTGGGTACGGTCCGGTATACCGGAACGTACCCTGGTAACTATTTGATATGGTTAGGGTTAGGGTTAGGGTTAAGGAGTAGGCATAGGCGATTCCCTAGACTTGTTAGTGGAGTAGGCGAGGTACGGTCCGGCATATTAGATAGTAGCAGGGTACGTTCCGGCAGTACCCTGGGGGACATAGACCCTCTCAGCATTAATAACCAACAGTAATTGATGGTATGTGAGACCCTATAGCAAGGAATTCCTCATTCACAGCTGCCAAACCATTCAAAAGATCACATGACATGAAATACGAAACTGTACTCGTGCCCTTTTTGTCAACGGCATATAATTCAAATATGAACAGCCTGCTTATACAGTTCAACAACGTTTTAAGCACAGCAGATCTTCTAACGGAATGCCGAGTATATGCTTAGCTGAACCGTGAAACGAATATGCACGACAAAGCTCGGCTGTGCAGTAGGCATAGGTCGCTTCTAGTGCAGACACAGAGATCTGCTGCAAGTCACCTGCTAGCTAGAAGATGCGGGAACGAACAATGTGCATGAGGAGTCGTGTCTGTGCCCTGACCACACACATCAACACCCTCGCTACGCGCCACCATGCTTGCAACGATAGCGCTTCGGTGCTAGTAGCCGAGATTTTTGCAATAATTGGTGAAGGCGACCGGCGGAGTAATGGAGATGCTACCGGCGCGACGGCAGTGTTACCAGGAGCGGAGAACAGGCGATAAAAATTTTCAGTGATTCGTCGCGACAAGCAACCCAATCATCTACACTCGAGGCTGCGGAGAGGCGTTTACGTTACGGCGTACAGCGGCAAGGCTCGCATGCATTATTCAGCCGCGACAACTAATAATTGATGTGATATTGTGCGATGCATATATATCACTTTGAATTTTGCATTTGCAACCACGCTCAGCGACGTATCGATTGAAAAGGCACACAAATCAGCGATAATGCGAAACCGCTCGTAACCTTTGACTCAGGTCTAGCTGCTTGCCATTGACGCAATTCGTGCAGAACTGTCACCATCGTAGCCTTTAATAACAATTTTCCACCAGCGGTTCACGGATAGGTGGACAAAAATAGGTGCTGGCATGCGACATCAGCTGCAAGAAGTGAAGATGAATGACTAAGAAAGGCGAGGAATCATTTGCATCAAGTAGCTCTTGACAGCTTGCTAATTTCATAATATAACAGCCTGCTACACTCTTGACTTGACCAATTTTTTCGATTATTCTATGACGCGGTGTAATTAAAACAGCTAGTGAAGCAACTGAACCTCAAAATATTCGTGCCACATACTGGCATACTGCAAATGGACAATGGGAACTCTCTCGACGCCAGCAGTACAGCTACACGAATCCGAAAATACTTCTAAGAAAACACCTAGCCTGATAATTATTAGATGACAAAACTTTTTTTTAGCCTTTCAAGTTCAAGAAGAGGTAGTGTACGTGTCAGCCAATCTGTTACACCTACGTGATCACACTTTAACAGGTTACGGGAATAAAGTGAAAATGCCTCTGGTCATCACTGAGTTGCATGTTGCAGGAACACCTATTCAGAGCTGCCTATAATAGCACAGAATGAAGATAGAATACACATGTATTATATTCCTGGCTACGTGTAGTGAGAACAACGTTTAGCCAAACCACAAGACTCTCCGAAATACACGCATGAAACTTACTTCAGGTGCTCTGATCTTATTTCACATTTAATAGATTTTAGCATTTTATCGTGAGATGGTGACTTTTTCACGTTGAACGCAGTGATAAACTGCACTAGTTATGGCTTCTTGAGCTTATGAAGAAATGGTGGGAAATAAATCAAGTTTAGCCCTCTTCAGGGTCGACAGATGACAACACAATAACACTTCATAGATCAGCAGAAAGTACATTTCATGTGCCTTAAAAGAGGTTATAAAAGCTGCAATACGATTATTGACCCGCTAATGGCTGTCATTTCACCATGACCACCAAGTATGGCCAATGAATTTAGGACAGGATGCGTATTCTCACGGCAATCCTGAATGTATACTGTAAACGCAGTACGCACTATGTACACTGTAGCTCACATCCTTATCCATCTAGCGATATATCTCATCTTACCAATGCTGACTAAGCATTATTAGATGGAATGAAAAGGATAACGTTCACTCCCCTTGCTTCACCTTTCATACGTGGAACACACCATTGACACAATAATTAAATATATACAGTAGCATTACTCGGGGGGGTGCTGATGGTACTGGCGGGAGGGAGTTATACACTGGTACGCAAGTCGGGTGACAATGCACCTTCAATTAACGATTAGATTGACCTAATTTTGCTACTGCTTGCTCTGTGGTACCTGGGAATGCAGCGTGTGTATGCACCGAATATTGCAATAGGTGGGAAATACTGGTGCAGCATGTAATACCCTGTTAATTGGTACCTATACGGTTGAGGACTCTCCGCGGACAGATGAAGCACATTTAGGTATGACCCGAAGAGATGAAGCCTCAGAGTTGCTGCTGACCGCCATTGTAAGCGTAGTCCGCTTTATTGTGCATGATAAGCCTATCCTCAACGAAATAGAAGCTGTCCGACTTGGTCTCGTACGGTCGATCAATCATATCTTGCACTGGAGAACGAGAGAACGAGAAAGAGAAGGTTTCAATATCAATAGAAGCCAGCAAGAATATATCACTATCTTAGCGTGCTCTTATGTTTACAGTTCCGCCATCAGTGGTCGATTGGTCGCTCGCAATCGCACAGACGGTTACACAGCGAAAACATTGTTTGTTTTCAAAATAATATACAGCGCTAGCCAGAAAAGTATATTGTAACGAGGTCTGTGCATTGACGTTACGTTCTCATTGATTTGCTGTAATGGCACCCAGTCTACCTTCGCGTGGCTGCGTCTTGTTGTGCTCGTATATGCATGTTAAGCTTGGGACACACTCTGCGATTTTTCAGGCGATTTAGTCGCCCGACTGAGTCGCCGGCGAATGAGTCGGGCGACTGAGTCGGGCGACTGAGTGGACACATTAGGCGAATATCAGCAAATTCATCGACGATTTTTTTCCCGCTGCAACACTAAAACACTCGCGCCACCTAGATTGAAAGTCACATGATTGAAAATGGCACCGTTTGATTGGCTGATGAATTGTACATTCAGGCAACTCATTCGCCGACCAGGACATACTAGGCGATTGTAGTTGCGCGACTGAAATATTCGCCCGATTTTATCAAACATGTTTGATTCACGCGACTCAGTCGCCCGACTCGAAAATCGGCGCGACTGACTGGACACATTAGGTGATTTTTACCGGCGATTGAGTCGCCCGACTGAGTCGCCGGTGAAAATCGCCTAGTGTGTCCAGGGCTTTATTGCGCGCGTGCACGCATATCTATTGGTTGTTGCACGAGTGCATGCATGTGTGTCGTTATGGGCACGCATACACACGTTGGGCGCATGCATGCACGCGGGTATGTTATTGCGACAGTGCATGCGTGCGTGTTGTGCACGTGGATGCATGCACGTTATTATACACGCGCGTGCATGCGCTCTGCTGTGAGTGCATGTGCATGCATAATTATAATGTGTCGTCGTTTTGTGTGCATGAGCGTGTTGATGTGTGTGTGCGCAGTTGTATGCATGTTGTGTCTCTTCGTGCATGCACGCTGTTGTGTGCCTATTGTGGGAGCGTTCGTACGCAGACAAGGCATGCAGCCATCCGTCAGTACGGTTGCACTGCTTCGTGATGCTCATGTCTACCTACAAAGATCTTAGTTATATCATAGACTAATAAGCAAAACACAACAACAGCCACCACATGGTTATGAATTAGCAAACCTAAACCTATACACAGATATAATACGCTTTATTCTGCTGCGACCGCTGACGCACAGGATCTGAAATTGTGACACATCGAATCAACGAACACTTATAGAGCCGAGCGCACGTACCTGCCACTGCCAGCACGACACCTACAATCAATATATCAACTCAGTCTTAACGGCGAGTCAATGCAGCCAGAATTTCATCGTTTGCAGCAAAGATTCAATGCGAATTAGAGCACAGCTGTGAGCGGACATCACCCCAGTGCCTTCACGCGCTATCGATTGGTTTGCGTGTCATCAGACAGGCTCGACTCCTACAAACGAGGTTACTGCTAGGAATATCCAGGGACATATCGCGTTACTCCTTACTCAGCGTGCCACCACTGAAACACCGTCCAGCAGAGATAACGTCCCGTCAGCGTGCCGTAAGCGCCGCTTTCCCTGTGACCCTCCGTCCTACGCTACCGAAAAAAAACCGTACCGCCGAAAAAAACAAAATACCTGAGCTGTCAGTAACGGTGCAATGCGCGCGCTGCAGGGCATCGTTACGCTAATGAGCGCCCGCAGACGACGCGTGAGGTGGCCGCCGTGATGACGCGCGGACGTGGTCACTGCTACTGCCGCGGCTGCGACCGCGGGGTTGCAGCTAATGGCCATGATGATGGAAGCACAGCAATGGCGAAATCACTGTTCACTCGCTCGCGCAGTCGCACGTCGCAAAAAAGTCGTGTGGCAGAGTACTTTACGATGGCTGGTGGCGCATCGATGGCAGGAAATATCGTTGTGCGAATCCTCGGGTCCAATGTGAAAATTGAGCTCTTGTCAGATTTCTATGAGCTTACAGCTCAGTGCATGAAGCAAATGTTGACTATCCTTAATGGCTAATGCCCTAGAGATGCAACTCTCTGCTGAAAGCTCATGGTTGCAAAAGTTGTCCATAAAACTTGTTTCAATCCACTCAGTACCACTCGGACCATAACAAGTTAGGGTGAACCTACTCACAATACCTGCCAGCAACTGCGCGCACTCTGTTAACTAAATATGAAAGAGGAGTAATGGACGAGAGGCAGCATCCATCCGTTACCTTATCAGAGAGTCTAGACGTCATAGTTACGGCAGCAGGGATAGGCAAGGACTCACTCACCCACGTCAGAGTCTAGCAGTGGGAACTCATATATATGTTCGCACGTGTTTTTGCTGTTCGGGATGCAGAAGCCAAACTCGAAGTCGAAGCTTTTAAGCAACTGCTCCCTGAAGAAGTGTCGCTCGATCATGCGAAACTTGTTGACTGGCTTGTCCCCCACTGTAAACTCCACCCTAAAAGACAGACAGAAAAAATCACCACACACGAAGCAAAACTTTTAGATGTGAAGTGAAGTGTTAGAAGCATCAAGAGATGTTAGAGGTGACACAGTACGTTAGACATGCCATTAAACACTGGACGCGAGTACAAGACTTTTAAAGCTCCTGTGAAATGGTGCCGTTTGATATGGAAGGATAATACCACTATGAGTCAAAAAGCATACATACAACAAAAATATTTTTTTCTAGCAATTAATTTCGTTGAGACATAAATTCATTATGTACTGAGTGTCATTAAAGTAGAGTTGGAAAAATTTTAATATATATAAGAAATAAATGGTAGTTTTACTTAAGGAATAGCAAAATATTTGGATGACTTACTTACTTATGAAATTTCACTAACGACGCCCTTTGAACACTGCTTTTCACTATAAGGATATCATCCTATGATTCCATATCCTGACGAGATACACCATCGTTTCCATATTCAGATATCAGGAGCAATATAGTCAATAATACGGATCTTTTAGGATGTTGACAAGCAATTGTAAGCATTTGTGCGATTTTCCGGCTATCATCAACCCAACCCCCTATAATACGAGACTTAAAAAAGTTCAATGAGATATCGGCTAGTCATGCATCTCACGCGACCGCATGTACAGTGTAATACCATGATGTGATCGCTCGTGCAGCAAACTCGAAAACCATTTGCCAGAGTATCATGTGTGACTCTGTAAGATGCTCTCTAATGCCGACATTACTCACTGCCTATGTGTTCAACGAGCTATATTTAAAAAAAAAGCCGATATTTTGCAATGTGGGCAGTTTCACTCATTTCAGATGGAGTCTTTGAACTGTCCGCCACACCTTATTTATAAAAATTATTATTATAAAAATTATTTATTTTATTTATTTTTATTAGTATTTAATAAAAATCTACATAAGCTTCACAGCCCAGTCGTAATCTGCATGGAACTGTGTCCCTGCAAAAATTACTTCTGTTGAGGTGTTGCGATATTTAGCACATTGCACATTTGCCATAATAATTAGCAGAACAAACTTTGTACTTGTAGCGGTCTTCTACCCAGGCTACAGTGCTATCACAGTAAAGTAGCAGCAGCTTCGTGAATAACTCGTTTAAATAACTTAACTACAAACAAGTTAGTTGAGCATCAGATTACTGTTAAATGAATGATTAATCAATTTAATGTGTCTTCTTCTTCTGGGAGGAGTATGTGACTGTGCATGCAAAGATCGAATTACATCCCCGTGGAGTATGGCGTCCCATCATGCTCTGGAATGACTACTGTTTTTACCGTATAGTTGCTAAACTGATCCATTAAAATCTTGCCAAATGGAACCGTTGTTTCTACTCCTAAACCACATGTACATGACTATTCTTTCTGTGCAGACCTATTTCTTTTACCAAACCTATATTATATATATATATATATATATATATTAGTACAGATTGCATAAGCCTCTCATATTATAAACAATTGTGCCATTTTATGAGAAAAGCATGAAATGTCTAGCCATAGTTAGTATACATGATGTTAATTTCAGCATGGTGGAGCGAAGTCAGATTTGACTTCTAGGACCGTGAGAGGTCAAATCCAAGATGCCGCCAGTCCACAGGGTATTAATGTTCAAACGCGCTTAATTTTGGAACCAAAAGCAGCGTAGAAAACATTTAAGGTGTCGCCGTCCAACTAAATTGGGGATGACCATTTATTTTTTTTGTTTCTGGTGATACCTGGAGATCGCTACAACTCAAAGGACATGCATTTAGGCCAAGGTCAAGCCGTCAAAATTTACCAAAAAATAAGAAATCGGTTGAAATTTGCAAATAACACCAAGAGATGTTAATTTCAAAATAATATTAAGATTCCCATATATTTGATGATCAATTTCAAGTTGCCAGCACTGAACCCTGGCCAGATCCTGTCCTTAGCCTGTTGACCAACACTGTATGCTCGTGCTAAGGAAGTCCAGTGGACCTGGCCAGCCACTTCACGGAGAGGATCACTTGTGATCATGTTCGCGGGTCTACACATCGAAGATGGGCAATGTTTGAAGTCTGCTGGGAGACTGGCTGCGAAGGACAGTGGTTGGGGGGGGACGAACGCCCTTGGTACAGCTGACATTGCAAGTTCCGGGAACAGCAAATTCTTCATACATGCAGGCATTGTTACCATGACACGCCATGTACACCAAGTCACAGCTGCAAGCCTTTATCACTCCTCCAACAAGCTTACAATGAAGACTCGCTACATCTGATGATACTGATGCCCATGCCTACGCAGATAGTCCGGTCTTTTGAGGAGTGGTGCTACAGCCAGTGTCGCACTTTTGACTACTTGGTGACATAAAGCCCTTCATGGGGGCTGTGTTCTCTTGCTGCTGGTTTAATCTGTATGTATATTCTGGTCTTGAATTGTTAACTTCCAGTTCTGTACGTGAAACTCCTGACGCCGATCATGCCCTGGATGTTGTCTAGATCCTAGCCAAGCATGGTCTAGCAGCATTCAAGTCTAGAAACTTCGTGGGTGGTTCACAAAAACCAGCCAACAAGTTTGTCTGCTATGGCACTTGACCAGTTCCATGAGCAAAAACAATGCCAATTGGTGAAAGGTTTCTGGTGGGGCTATAGGACTGACAGGCCAATCCTAGGAGCACTCAGACGCGATGGGATGGTAGCAAGGCCAGAAATGCCAGGATTCAACTACAGGAGCTTGAGGAACAGGCATAAAGCAACGGGTAGGCTGATGACACTGGACACCCTCACCATGACCAGCACCTGGAGTGCAAGCCAGAATTCCTGAAAGAGGTTAAGGCACTGTGACAGTGCTGAAAGAGATGCGAGAAGTCATTTCTAGAGAAATCAGCCAAGATCCTACTAGTCATACACAAGGGACATCATGCGGACACCCAAAGTGTGCCTGAGAAACTGTGAGAAAGATTTGAGGACCCTTGGTGCAGAAGGCAGTACACTAAGTTTGATGACAGAAATGGTTTAGAACAGTGTACCACACCTGTCACACAGGACACTTCCAAAGATACAAGTTGCCACTTTTCAGTTAAGCCACCGGTCAAGATTAAGTCAAACAGAAGCGCCCACAGGCTTGCGCTGAACTGAGAGTGACTGTTGGTCTCTTGTTCCGAGGCTGTACATTCTCCATGTCAATACTCAGATGGAGACATCAAACAATTTTCTTCGTCCAGGAAAACCAGCAGCCCCGCCGAGCTCGCTGTCAACTGGGGAAAAACAATGCGTGTTCGGGGTTAAAGCGAAGCTACTTCGCTGCCTGGAATCAGATCTGCTCGGAACAATAGTTGCCCGGTGCGCTGATGCCCAACAATTTTCGATGCCGATGCAGCCTGTGGCTTTCAAATGCTAAATCCTGCGGACATCGAAGAGCATTTTAAAAGAGTATGCAAAAAGACGTGTTTGCACCATACCATCTCTGCTGCAACTCTAAGAATGCAAGCCGCCATCGACCTTGTCTGGGATGTAAGCCTACCTGCCAGCCTGAAAGCCTCACTCAGACAGAATTAGGGGAAAAGGGCATCAGGAAAAGGGTGTCTCCTTCTACCTGTGGATGCCAAAGAACTGGAAGGACTTCTTTCGAGTCAATCGGAGGAACAAACCCGAAATTATTTGCTTTCCTGTTCACGCGCTGTTCACATTTATCTTGAGCAGAAGGCAAGGACTGTATGCAAAAACAGTGTGTGAGAGTGGGGTCCTGTGCTCTCTGTCGAGTCATCATTGGGGCCGCCTTGCCCATGTTCACAAGAGGAGGCTGACACTTAGGTCTTACTTCTGCATTGTGGCAGATTGCTGTGCAAAGGGTAACCAATACGTACCATTGATTACTGATGTGGTGGCTACTGGCTGTGGCTTCATGCTGCCAAAGATAGCCTCCTGCATGAGCTGTTGGTGGGCCTTTGGTGATTGGCTCAAGCGGGTTCGCGTACTGACTGTTTACAAAATGCTTGCCACAACTTGAATCCAACCACTGCTGTCGTCACTCTCCCAGTCTTTCACGCTTTCACCAAATTTGTGACACTGTAGCTGCATTCGCTGCAGAGGAAAGAAGATGCCTGCGGAAACTTGGAAGTCTTTCCAGAGGTGATGATGCTTTCAGTGAACTTCCTAGCATGCCCGAGGTGAAGTCAGTGAAGGAATCAAATGTTATTGCCTAGAGCGTTTGGTGGGTGCTGCTGTATGAACCGAACAGTGAGAGCCACGAGAGTGAATGGCATTGAGGAAAACAGGCGTCTGTCACAGCAGAGTCTAGAACTCTTAGAGAACAATCTCCACCAGGCCGCACATCAAGCGCTCTTGCTACCAGGCCAACTTTGGAACAAGGCATTGGTCATGGATCCAGAGATTTCCAGAACCATCTGACTGGGGCTGGCAAATGGAAACAATCTGCGGTCATGCCTCTTTTGTGTGACTACCTTCTTCCTAGGCAGGAGCAGCAAAACGTCATGAATGATCCACTGTCGCTGCGTTGTGGAGTTGATAGGTCAGCTCTTGGACGCTGCTCTGATATTGTTGTTCTCAGTGCTCTGTTGCTGTGTCCTGTGATGCTGTTGTTTTACTTTGTGGGTTGGCTGTGTGTGTTCTGCTTCTGTTGTTGAACATTACCGGAATATGATTATGCAATATATTTTATGTGTTATTGACTTTTTGGGAACGGTAATTCAACCTTTTCACCTTGGTCGCTAAGGTCTTGCTTTTGATGTTCTATGCCAATCTCATAGACTATCATAAATGGTCGATCCCAATTAGTGGAATCGGACACCTTAAATTCTTTTTCTATGGCTGTTTGGTTCTAAAATTAATGCAGCTGTTTGAACATTAAGACACGGCGTGGACTGGCGGGCCATTCTTGGATTTGACCTACTCACGCGTCTTCAGAGGTCGCAAAATATCTGACGCCCCACATCTTAAGATAAAACATCATGGTATATACTAACTATGCTAGAAATTTCATGCTTTTCTTGCATAAAATGCAACAATTGTTGCTGGTATCTGCTGCCACTATATAGCCCATCTCAAGCAATCCCAACATGCACTCTGCACTACGACGACAGCAGCCATTTTGAAATGTTCGTACTTTTTATATTCACTCGTTTCTGCAAGTTTTGTGAATGTTCCATTCCAAACACCACACTAGTACCTGAACATATCACGTAACTGACCACGGTTCACTCATTGCTCTATAGCTGAGATCCTATATATGCATCACGAAAACGGACCTACGATTCTGTTATAATATTGAATATTTTTTTTGGTAGTCTATATCGTGTTTTTTTCTAATAGGTCTTTCTTTTTTATTTTTTTCTTTGTCTGTATATATTTTTTGTTATTTAACAAAGCTAAGGGTGGGACGACACTGTCACTGAGCACACATCACACCGGTCAACTTACGTTGCACCTACTGTCCGCAATTTTAGAATTGTGGCGTGAACTGATAGCGAACAAATCGGCCGGCGTTCGGGTCCCAGGTCCCCATCGCCCGAATCCAGTCATCATCTTCATTCTCTGCAAGAAAATGAAACGAATGAGGATTGAAACAGCACTGCTTGGGTCGCAGAAAACAGCCGTCGTGCGAGCACAGGTGATTCGACCAAGTTCACACATTCCCACGACAAGTAAATTTACCTAGCCTACCTGTGGGCGGTGGCTTTGCTATTTTCGCGAAAAGGTACTGTTGTTCTCCAGCTCTTATACCTTGATTTCTCTCTATATATAGTCAATTTATCTATCTCTCTCCTTGTGTATGACATATATAGTAATCTATATGTGTATAGTTGTGGTATGTAGTGGTATATAGTGAGCTGGTGTCAATACTATTTAAATTTTCTCTCTATAATATATATCCTAACATATAACTGCCGTCAATTGTCATGAACTATGTCTATTATAACTGTGATGATATTGGTTGGTTTATGTTAGTGACCCTATAGGGTCTATGTCCCCTGGGGTACTGCCGGAACGTACCCTGGGTACGGTCCAGTATACCTTGGTCACTATTTGATATGGTTAGGGTTAGAGTTAGGGTTAGGGTTAGGGCTGGGGTTAGGGTTCGGGAGTAGGACACTCCCTAGACTCGTTAGTGAAGTAGGCGAGGTACGGTCCGGCATAGTTATATTATGTAGATAGTACCAGGGTACGTTCTGGGCGGTATACCGGACCGTACCCAGGGAGACATATATAGTGGAGACCCTCTCAGCGTGAGTAGCATGAGCATAGCTGGCATTAGCTGCATAGTAGATTTAATATTCAACAAAAATGGTAGGTTTCCGATAAGGGTAGTATGAATATGACTAAACGATTACAAGTGTACAATATTACGCTATATTATAAGCTCTAGTTGGCGCACAATAGTGACGTACAACACTATATACTACTAGAGCTGCCAGGGTCTATGTTTCCCAGGATACTGCCGGAACGTACCCTGGGTACGGTCCGGTATACCGGAACGTACCCTGGTACTATATAATATGACGCTATATCATAAGCTGTAGTTGGTGCACAATAGTGAGAACACTATATATATTACTAGACCAAGCCCATATGCCATAGCTGGAAGAGCCAGTGGCAGTGTATTTAAACAACGCGAATCAGAAGCACAGGCACTCAGACAGTAAACCAATTATAAACGTGGTAGCCACAACAACAAATCAATGAGACCACCTGGTTACTATGGAAACCGATAAAGATACATGCTACTACAGTGTACTATTTGCATACACACCCAGCTTCATTAGTACATGACCAATTAGGGGTGTATTGGCGTTTCACTCTTCACACTGTAATCTCGATCGAATATCAGGTCAGGTGTCTGCCATTGAGAAAGTATTAGTGAAGTGTGCTAGGTGCAGATGTAAAATGAAAACGTGTATATCACTATGCCTGGGTATACTTCGCAAGTGTGCAACACAGTTTTACGTGCAGCGCATGTACAAGAATCGATATTTTAGGTTAAATAATAATATGAGGTACATACATAATTATACATGTAGGCGAAATTGATAGGTTAGTAGCTGACTAGTAGGAATAACATGAACTAATCACTTAAAATTCGAACAACCACAATAGTGCATCCACAAAGTAAATGCAACATTTCAGGCAGGATTTCCAATATACTCAAAATATCACACACTGAAGAGTGCAGGCTAATTCATTTTAGTGTTATGCGTGCCAATCACAGCAGTTTAAACAAGCCGACACTGCCACCACCTACGTGTGGGTTTCAAACACAGCTGTTGACAAATTACTTCTTGCAATTTAATTGTGCTGAAAACTGCCGCCTCCCCGATGTATCATTAACAAGCGGTTGTGTTTTCATGTTCATCAAGTAGTTACGTAGCTGCCCCTGGGAGATTTTTTATTTAGTATAAATTTAATATAACAAGAACAGGTGGTACCATAGATGTGCAAAGGTACAAGTGCACCAGCGCACGTTCACGTTTGTGTATCTCTCTACAGGTTTCGAGTAATGACACGAATGAACCACAAATATAGTAATAATTATTTATCTTTTACACAATTATAACTGCTATATATATGTGTGTTTGCTCGCAAGCGTGCGTGCGTGCGTGCGTGCGTACGTACATAATGCGACGGGTGGTCAACAGGGCCGTAGCCAGAGGTAAATTTTGTAGGAGGCAAATGTTGTGAGTTAAAGAACAAGGAGCGAAGCGAGCCAATAGGGCGTGGGGTATGGGGCCCGCTTAATTTTTTTTTTGAGAAATTTTTCAAGGAGGCATTTGCCTCCTATTGCCTAATGGTAGCTACGGCCCTAGTGGTCAATGTCGTTATTATACAACATTTTATGGATTTACCAGTAAATATATATTTCGAAATATATGAAATTGCCTCGAGGTAAAAAGGTGTTGCATTTGAGAAATGTGTTCATGCACGGCCACACATATATATATATATATCAGTTTTAAATGAATATTTTCCCAGCTGCGCTGCGTTGTTGGCTTGCACTTGCACATCATATGGGAGCGCGTTTCAACATTGACTGGCAGGCAGGTAAAGCCTACAATATCCATCCATGCCGGCTGCAGTACGTACATTCCCTAATGTAATACAGAAGATCAATAACATTGTCTGGGAAACCACCAACCTAGCAGCTTGCTTGTAAAGTCCCACGCAAGATCTGTACGCCACACGAAAGCACTTCATGGTTCTATATATATCAGAAGTAGATAATAGGGAATATATATATAGAGTATAGGGAATAGGAGTAGAACTCCTGATATATATATATATATACCAAGGCAACATATTACATATGTGATACCTACCAGTGTTGAGCATGTGTAATGTAGCTGGCCTAACAAATAAATATAGACACAACCATACACTGGAGATATATACACGCAAATTCACATGATTCCTTCATAAAGCCTATAGCGTGTAATTTCTCAACTGATTGGGGTTTGGCTTATCTCAGGGGAGAAGCCAGTGAATAAACTGATTACACATATCAGCTACATGTATACAACGTTATGTACAGTCATCAGGAATGAGGATGTTTACGCCATTACATACTACCCATCACAAATGTATTATTTATATACTATATCAATGTACATGCGTTTTTTTAAATAACTAGCATGCACAGAATTATAACATTAACTTGATAAGGCTTTATTTTGCACCATATTTAAAATTATGAAACAGGAATTAGATGAAATTGATACAATTGTGCAATATTCAAACGGGACCTAGCCAATGTGAATGTTGTTTGGGAGTAGTGATGTACGTAAACGCGAATGCTCCGGAGATTAGTAATCTAAAACATCCATCAATTATCACGGTAATTGCCGATGCCAATGCTCATTGAGATCTCCACCATACACCATGTATATATGTTTAATTACCCGCAGGCTGCAACACGTGAGAAAATGCATAAACACAGGTTTACAGAACTTTTGAACAAAAACCAGTAATACATGTGTATGTACATTTATAACAAAGATACACAAAGTCTACAAACCTTACCTAACCACCGCAAAAATCGGCGATATACGAGCGGAGCCTACATTATGTATACACTATTCTCAGTAACAATAATAAGTTGGTTTTCTAGAGATACGGCATGATGTTGTATTTTGTAACATTATCAAAGGGCGGACTTAACATCCTGCCCCTCCGATTTCGATCTGCCGTCATTTCAACCCATTGCTCTCTTTCTTCTGGCACCGCTGTCTCGAACTTCGAAGGTACTTCGCAATCACTCATTTGGCTTTTAAAATATTAAAGTGCTGTGTCATCCTCACAATATGCCAATCGACCCGTTACGCTGACACGATCGGGGTCCATAAATCAGTATTTTCAGCTTCAGGCCTGTGACAATTCCAAATGTCTACGATGTACTGAACAGCTACAATGCGTTTTTTTGCCAATATCAATCGTATTTCCAGCTTTCGTTATACTTATAGCACCCAAGACGGACCATTACTCTTCTTTTGAAGCTTGTAGTTTTTTCCAGGCTTTTGTTTGTTTCTCACAAAGACATAGCTACCAACTTTCAATAGCACCGCGACTCTTAATCATTTAGAGTGCGAACTGTCTCTCTAGCCCCTCCTCCGCGTTTCTGGCAACTTCCAGTCTGGTACGTCTGCCGGCAGTTATCACTATCAGTCTGTTTCCGTACACTAAATTCGTTTTTCTTTGCAGTTTCCTGCTACGAGACAGATTATATATAGTACGTCGACTGGCATAATCGAGTCCTGACCGAACAGCACATAGTACGAGATATTTGTGTTATACTAGTAATTAAATAGCGCAACATTTATCCACGCCTCCCAGCTTTAAGCAGTTGCAAGATGGATTGGTTAGCGCGTCCCAATACGCTATTAATATTACTCACTAGGTTCCACAACAATTTATAGGTTTCGCGTATTCCTAATAATCTCTATACTTCTGCTATAAGTATAAGTGCAGGTGTAAGGTTTGCACCTCACGCCGAGTCGTGTGTACTGAGTACCTATATTGTTCACGAAAACACTTGTCATTGTAGATGATGTGCAGTCCTTTCTAGGATAGGCTTCTGCATATTTGGAGAATGCACCCTGTACTTAATGCAAGTGCTTATTTCCTTTGGGGAAACCTATAATAAATTGGGACAATAAATTGAATGCCACTTTGTCAAGCGGCTTAATTTGACTCTGCTTTAGAAGCTTACCTAAGCTGCACACCTTTTACGATAGTAAGAGCTTGGTTGTATTCGACGTTTTGAGTGGCAACTCAAAATACTGATAGCTTTTCACACAGCAATCTTGCTGAAGCTCTTCTGGCCGAATTAGTGTATCAGCTATGACATTTTCTTGCTTGCGAATATAACTATATAAAAGCTATAGGATAGCAACCCTAACCACCAACGTGTTATATTCGCTTTCGTCTGCGTCAACTCTTGTATATATACGGTACCGTAGTGGTTTATGATCACACTTCAATGTGAATTTCTCTACAACCAACAAATAAAATAAAAACTGTGGATGGAAAGTGCTTCTTTCTTAATTGTGCACCATCTCACTTCCATATATATGTCACTCAACTTCTTCGAGATAAATGCGACTGGTTGGGATATGTCATCCCCATCAGTTTCACACTATGCCAACACACCCACGATGATCTGATCAGATGTGCCTGTATAAATGGTTGTCCGAAGTTGAAAATTTTTAGTACGAGTCCGTGCATAACACTTCACGCAAATAGTCAACTGACCATCTTCGGATATTCCCATTGCCACTTTGCATCATTTCTTGTCAGGTCAAACAAATTGATGCCATCAACTCAGTGAATCATGGCACGAATATATGCAATAATAATTTGCAAAGACTAAGAATCTCTTTACCTCTGCCTTATTCACAGGTTTTGGAGTAATTGCGAATCTTCTCTAACTTCTGCACATCCATCTGTACGCTTCGCTCTGCAATTCGGTCACCCAAGTAACACCACTCACCACTTCAGATTGATCAAAATAGCACTTTTTCAGTTCAAGGAGAATTATTCACAAATCTCATATTTTCTCCAGTGTTTTCTGCAACCATGTTAGCAATCACCCTTGTCGGTGTTCCTATAATTATGTCATCTAGGTATCCTGCCACCTGTTCCTTACACAGGTCCTAGATTGCGTACTGTTTTTCTAAATAACTGTATTACTATATTGTCGACTAACAATTGAGATCGGCGCTCCTGGATCTACTGTCACTCGTATAGCCTGTCCGTCTATATGTCACATTATGCAGGTATCTAAAGCCCCCGTTATTCTAGTGTCATGTTCCTGCTTATACAGCTAGTATAGTATGTGAGCGGCATTGTGGGTTTGTATCCATGCTTATATAAGTACTACATGCTTATACTTTAATATGCAATCAGCAAACTAATATAGTGTTTTCTTTCCAGGAACTATTTGCGCTAGCGTAGGCCTACTGTAATAGCATTCAGTTACATCACTCTGTGAGAAGTTCTCTCTCCGAGAGAATCTCTCTCCGAGAGTTTTCAAAATAGTGAACTTCGGAGCACATTTCTGGCTCAATGAGAACATTTCGCGATGTTTTCATACTGCAAGTATATGCCCACAGTAGGTGTATGTATAAGCATTTTGTTGCGAGGTTTATCCATTTCAAGAGGCGAATACAATTTGCAAATAATATTTAACTGTTCACAAAATTACAATTGAATAATAAAATCGTCAAATCGCAATTTCTGTAGTAGTACGTTGCAGAATCCAAAATTGGCATCGAGGCAACGGAAGGCTAGTCGTGTACACAGGCACTTGAAGCGTTTCAATAAAATATAATGCTAACTAAATACGAAATCAATTTACTACCAAATTCTTATATAATATTTTTTCTAATATATATAGTGTAAGCGTGCAACAGTGCACATCACAAGAGCAATGGCGCAGGCAGCGTATATGGTTGGACGTAGGATTTGGACGGAATTTACAGGAAACTGTCGGCAATAATAGGTGAAAGAGAGTATATAGAAACATTAAGAATTTGGTAGTAAATAGATTTCGTATTTAGTTAGCATTATATTTTATTGAAACGCTTCAAGTGCCTGTGGTTTGTAGGCTATAACTATAAGTACTAACAAATTTTGTAACCTATAACTATTCTGTCTCTAGTCATATTTTAGACTTACCTTTAAAATAAAACAATATAGTTTTGTGTAGCATAAACTACATTATTTTATCTTTACTTGATTACTTTAGTCTTTATTAATTATGCCTTGCTTAGCACATGACAACGTGAATAGTGGTTTCATTGACATTGTCATTGGTGGCTAAATAAAATAATGAAATAACTTGGGTGGCTCAAAGTCTTGGCTCAAACTTTAAAACATCCAAAGGGAGCCCTGACTATGATTATAATTCTTACCGCATGTTAAATTCTAGGTATGCAAGTTTAACTATGGATGTTGTTGTTTAAACGAACGTGTTTAATAACACCACAAAAATGCGCAGGCTTATGATTCGGGTTTGACTTACTCTCTGTGATCTTTGTCAATTTCAACACATCGTCGGGTGACACACACTCTTTGTTTAACAAATCTTCTTCTGTCACAGTGTCTTTTAATTCTTTGTCTTTCTTTGCTTTACGAGATAAAAATCCTCCACCTTTCTTTTTGTTCGATGCGTTGTTTTTCGAATTGCTCATTCTCCTGAAGTGAAGCACTGAAGGTGTGCAAATCTTCACCGAATTCGGAGTCCCTTATCAACAGAACGTATTATATTCAAGCTGCTAATCCAGTGACAGTCAATTCCGTATTCATGTAAGTTATGTTATTGTCGTTATACGAAATAACCGTACACCTTGTACGCAAACATGAACATAAACACAGGATACGAACAAAACTGAATATCGTGATTTGCCAATGTTTTCCTCGCAAAATGACAATCTTGAAAATGGTGATGACAGAACATAAGAGCATTCTCTAGTGGCGTTGACATCGTTACTAAGGACGCTGTTCCGAACTGACAATTTTTATAAAAACACAAGACCATTGATATGGAGCATTGGCGCTGCAGTCGGACATGATGGACTCTTTCTTTCCTCGTTATACACATATGTCATATGCATGTTTTACACGTTTTAAGTAAGAATAAACTCTAACATGAAATGAAAGAAGTATGCTATATGCCACATAGGTTAGTATATAGTGTAAGAAACCGTCGTAATTTCATATTGTGTTTTTAAAATTGGGCTTTTGACTTACAGTTACAGTTACAACTATAACTAAGTATAACTTTAAGTTTTAACTTATTTTATACAACTAAGTATTACAACTTACAAGTTATACTAACTTAGTTATAGTTATAAGTTATAGTTTATTAGTTATACTTATAGTTAATAATAATACTATTACTATTAGTATTAGTACCGGTAGTATTAGTATTATAAGTTTTTATAACATAATCATTATAATGTAAATTATGTATGTTATTTATAATTATAACATGAACTTTAGAGTTTAGTATTTACTAATAGTAGTTCTCCAACAGGGCCAACAAGCCATTACTACTACTAGTACTACTAGTAGTACTACTACTACTAGTACTAGTTACAGTAATTACTAGTAGTAATAGTATACAGACTACAGTATATAATTACAGTTACTAATAGTATAACAGTACGTAACGAAGCACAATTATTTATATAAAGAACGTAACAAAGCATAATTATTTATTTTAGATTATCACTTGTCTTAACACAGTTGAAGCTTCAAAGTTTTATAATATAACAATACATGGTCAGTCCTGAGTCTGACTCTCACCACAGTGAGTTATGAGACAGAGGCATTTGACTAGGATATTGCTATAATATATAAAATTGCTCTAAAAAGTAGCTCTAAAAAGCTGCTTGTCCAGCTGACAAGCTACTGGACAGGTCTACTTGTCCTCCATAGAAATGGACAAGTGAGGACAAACGGATAGCCCTTATTTCGAACACTGTAATGTGGGTAGTGGCATAGTTGCTTAGGTAGGGCGTGTACAGGATGTAAGACACTTCTTGTGCATGCTTAGCATGCTTGATCTCATCACCTTCCTAAAATAATGGTCGAGACACTGTAGTGACAACCACCAACCGTAATGTTTGCGTCAAAGTCATAGTGACTAGCTCCAGCTACTCTGCAGGTGTTAGCAATTGGTGTTAGCTCAATGTTCTGGTCAAGACACAATGAGCAATTGTAAGATTTAGCGTCAAAGTCACAGCGACCGGCCCCAGCTACATTTCAGGCATTTACGACTGGTGTTAGGTCAAAGTTCGTCTTCTTTCTCGATAACAATGGTAGACATTTGACGTTTGTAAACTCAAGACTGTTGGATGTTACATAGGCTCACCATTAATTCTGCAGTTGTGTGGTTAGGATAGCTTTTTTTTTAGTCTGGCAACCTTGCCGAATAAATGCCTCAAATCGTATAAAACCGAATTTTACTATAATCATAAACACATAAACCAGTCTGTTTAACCGATGCTATCAAAATCCTTTACAAAACAGTTGAGCTGCCCAATTTTGTTAAGAAATGTTGTCATGTTCCAATGAAAACATTATTTAGGGCTGCGGTTCGCTGTTCACGAAATATTGCATGACAATGTTACTGGAAATTAAAAATAATTATAAATATTTTTGTCATTATGTTATCTATGGACATTATCATGTGCTTGACAGTTGTGCAACAGCTCATTATGAACAATAATTACTAATTTTCTAGAATGTCGTTAGATGCTATGGTTGGTCGTTATTGCTGCAGTGTGTCATGACCTTAAGGCTTAACTCTGACAGACAGTGACGTCGACAACGTGGGTTTTATATATTCTTAAATCTAAACGTAGATTGCCCCGCTTACATATATATGGGTTCTGAAAGTGGACTATTCCCATTATAGATAAGACAAGCATAGATCTATAAGGAGTATATATATACTATTGAAGATTGAAAATGTGAGATTATTGTAAATGAACTAGTAACTCTTATACTAGTAATATATACCTAAACAGCGGCATCCAAGTCTATTGTACATTTGTCTTAAAACATTAACTTTGCCTTGTAGACCATTGACAGAAACATCGTGAACTTATGAGAATGAAACATCCTAATAAATTTACTCTTAGTATTACGAGATCCTAGACCCTCTTGTAACTTTAAAATTACGATGAAAAGAATGTAATCACTCGACAAAATTGCAATTATAATAATAGTATATTTTATAGTAATTAGTAAAACCTCTGTTTTCTTGAAAAACATGTCTGCAACAATACTTGTCTCTCAGTCGTGTACAAAAACAATATTTACATGTGTCAATTGTTCTTTTTTTATGTTTGGTCGAGTCATGACAATTGCATCTTGTTTTACTTTGCAGAGTAATGTCTTGCAGTGCAGTATAAAAAGATGGGGATGTTGCCTTTCCTTCAGTTGTTATTTAATCGTGATTAACTAGATCATAACAAGCAAAATATAACTAGCATTGTATTGACAGAAACACATTGCAGCTACGACTAAACTTACGATTCTAGGAATTTGATAATTTGCTGTCACAAGGTTGATGATTGGATGAAAATCCATCCCAAAACTTCGTGACACAAATTTAATGTTAGGATTAATTTTTTTCTTGACAACGAGCGTTATACCAGGTTTTATCCATTGATTTCATTGCCCTGGCTGGGTTTTGAACTCACGGTTTTGTCAATTACATGTCAACATGCTAACGACTAGGCTACGAAGCTATATAACTGTGCAAAGTTCTAATTTTCAATTAATGTATACGCCATATTTTTTGCATACATATATTTTCGCGAATTCAGACTTGAAGGACAATTTCGCGAGTGGTTAATTTCGCGGTCGGTGAATTCCCGAATCGGTGAAGAACAGCGTGTTGTTATTTTCGCGTGTTGTTATTTTTGCGGTCAGGGACGCGTTTGCGAAATTCGCGAAAAATAAACCACCGCGAAATATACAGCGTATAGAATAAAATGGTTTCTTTCTAAAATCTACTTTATATGCCGTATACAGTAGATATTAGAAAGAAACCATTCTCATAACAGTTTACATTTATACAGCAGAACTAGCATCAATACTATTTCTATTAAATTGCTATTACAGTTGCCACTAATTATGGTATTTAAACCATATGTCTAAGCGGATAGCATATATATATATGTATATATATATATTTATTCGGGCAGCGAATACTGGTGGTTGCACTGGTGACTTCTTCAAAACGATTAGCATATATGCAAACATAATTTTTTCTACTAAGGATATTTGGATTAAAAACGTTTAACGTCGACTTAGTTCTTGTACTACCACTATTGTATATAATATTATCTTGATATTATGTTCTGCTACGTTCTGACATACAATGACATACATTGTTGTTTTGTGTACGTAACAATAGTGACATATTTTCCTAACATGTTTTGACCTTGGCTTTTTTCAATTACAGGTGCAACATATTCATGTAATAGGTCGCTATATCGGATTACTCACTCAGACGAGCTAACCACCATTAAATCGGGCATCATGGATTCACTGACACAGATCAACACCTACCACTCCTTTGTGAAAATGGTTGGCGATCAAACAGCGAAGGAAAACCGCCTAAAGGCGGCGCAGGAAATCAGTGAGAATCTCGAGGCGATTATCGTCTCTCCGCACTACCCTTCCTTCCTCGAGCACATGATTAAGACCTTCCTCAAGGTGCTGCAGGAGGAGGACCCGCAGTTCATCTCCGAGTTCAACATCCAACAGCTGCGCAAGCTCACGCTCGAGGTGATCCATCGGATGCCGACGAACGAACACCTGCGGCCGTTCGTCAAGCAGGTGCTCAGCGCGATGTTCAAGCTGATTCAGGTTGAGAACGAGGAGAACGTGCTCGTCTGCCTGCGCATCATCATCGAACTGCTGAAGCAGTACCGGCCGCAGTTCGCGCCGGAGATCCAGACGTTTCTCGCCTTTGTGAAGAGCATCTACAAGGAGTTCCCGAACCACGTCGCCGCGATCTTCGAGCCGAAATCGCCGATCAAGGTCGCTGACATTCTCGACATCAGCATCGAGACGCTGCTCACAGAGACGTTCACGATGACGACTGTGCAGACGGAGAAGAAGAATGCAGACGGCACGCCGACTGCGTACAACCTCATACCGAAGGCCGTCTGCTCGCTGAAGGTGATGGCTGAGCTGCCAATTATCGTCGTACTCATGTACCAGCTGTACAAGCAGAACGTGCAGCAGGACGTTGCTGAGTTTGTGCCGCTCATCATGATGACGATCATCCTGCAGCCGGCGCCACAGCACCGCGTCAACCCGGCCTTCAACAAGGAGCTGTTTGTCGACTTCATCGCCGCGCAGATCAAGACGCTTTCGTTCCTCGCCTACATCATCAAGTCGTACCAGGACGTCGTCGGGCAGCACGCCGCCCACCTCGTCAAGGGCATGCTGTCGCTGCTCTCGCTGTGCCCACACGAGGTCGCACACCTGCGCAAGGAGCTGCTCATCGCCGCACGCCACATCCTCGCCACTCACCTGCGCGTGCGCTTTGTGCAGCACATCGACCGGCTCTTCGACGAGAACGTGCTGATCGGCGGCGGCTGGACGGCGCACGAGTCGCTGCGGCCGCTCGCGTACAGCACGCTCGCCGACCTCGTCCACCACGTGCGCAACCACCTGTCGCTGACCGACCTCGGGCTCGCTGTGCACCTGTTCTCGAAGAACGTGCACGACGACTCGCTGCCGAGCAGCATCCAGGCGATGTCCTGCAAGCTGCTGCTGAACCTCGTCGAGTGCATCAAACAGAAGAGCGAGCAGGAGAGCGGCAACGGGCGCGAGCTGCTGATCCGCATGCTCGAGGTGTTTGTGCTCAAGTTCAAGGTCATCGCCAAGGTGCACCTGCCGCTCATCCTGCAGAAGTGCAAGCCGACGTCCGCGCAGCCGCCGCCCGCGATGCAGGTCGGTGGGCTCGGCCAGCACACTGGTTCACAGACGAGCATCGGCTCAAAGCCGCCGACACCGACCGCGCCGCTCACGCCGACGCCTCAGCTGCTAGTTGGGCTGCAGCCGGCAGCGACAGCTGTTCCCACGGCGACGCCGCCCGAGGAGAAGTTCAAGATTCTCGACAAGGACAAGGACGAGAAGCAGCGATTCGGCATGTCGCCGCTAAACATCCTGTCGGTGCCGGACTGCCGCAGCCTCGTCAAGACGCTTGTCTGCGGAGTGAAGACGATCACGTGGGGAACGGCGTCGTGTAAGGGCTCGAACGATGCCGCCTTCGTGCAGAGCAAACACTTCCAGTCGAAGGAGACGCTCGTCTTCATCCGGCTCGTCAAGTACGCGCTCGCCTCGCTCGACATCTACACAATCAACTATTCGGCGTCGGGCCAGATGTCGCTGCGCACGCCCCAGCAGCAGTCCGTTCGTTCAAAGGAGGAGAAGGAGGTGCTCGAGCACTTCGCTGGCGTGTTCACGATGATGAACCCGCAGACGTTCCGCGAGATCTTCGCGACGACCATCCAGTTCACGGTCGAGCGCATCTACAAGAACTACACGCTGCAGATCGTCGCGAACTCGTTCCTCGCGAACCCGACTACGTCGGCAACGTTCGCTACGATCCTCGTAGAGTACCTGCTAGAGCGACTCGAGGACATGGGCTCGAGCATCGAGAAGTCGAACCTTTACCTGAAGCTGTTCAAGCTCGTCTTTGGCTCCGTGTCGCTGTTTGCTGACGAGAATGAGCAGATGCTGAAGCCGCACCTGCATCGCATCGTCAAGCGCTCGATGGAGCTCGCTATGCGCGCACAGGAGCCCTACAACTACTTCCTGCTGCTGCGCGCGCTCTTCCGCTCGATCGGCGGCGGCAGCCACGACCTGCTCTACAAGGAGTTCCTGCCGCTGCTGCCGAGCCTGCTTCAGGGGCTGAACAGCCTGCAGAGCGGGCTGCACAAGCAACACATGAAGGACCTGTATGTGGAGCTGTGCTTCACTGTTCCCGTGCGCCTCAGCTCCCTGCTGCCCTACCTGCCGATGCTCATGGATCCGCTCGTGTCGGCGCTCAACGGATCGCAGACGCTCGTCAGCCAGGGCCTGCGCACGCTCGAGCTCTGCGTCGACAATCTGCAGCCGGACTTCCTCTACGACCACATCCAGCCGGTGCGCGCCGAGCTGATGCAAGCGCTGTGGAAGACGCTGCGAAACCCGAACGACAGCATCGCTAACGTCGCGTTCCGCGTGCTCGGCAAGTTCGGCGGTGGCAACCGCAAGATGCTGAACGAGCCGCAGCGGCTGCAATACAACGACAAGGAGACGCCGGGCCCGTGCGTCACCGTCTACTTCCAGGAGATGAAGACGCCGATCACACTGCCAGTCGAGCGCGCGATCGCAGCCGCGCTCTCTGCCCTCAAGTCGGGCACGACTGAGTCGTACTACCGCAAGCAGAGCTGGGAGGTGATCAAGTGCTTCCTCGTGTCGGCGATCAACCTCGACGATGAGAAGCACACGTTGCAGCAGCTGTTCTCGCACCCGAGCTTCGTCGAGCGCGAGATAGCGCCGATCCAGCCGCCGGCGTACAAGTGCGCCGACTGGGAGGCGCGCGGCGTGCACGTGCAGGCGCTGACGGGGCTGTTTGTCGCCGCGGCGATCAAGGAGCTGCGCTCGGCCGTGCTGCCGACGATGGCCTCGCTCGTGCGCCACTACACGATGGTGGCCATCTCGCAGCAGTGCGGCCCGTTCCCGATGAACGAACGGCAGCACAAGCTGCAGGGCATGGACTGCTGCGTGCTCATCGACGCGCTCGCGATCATCATGGGCCACGAGGAGAAGGAGCTGTGCAAGCCGGGCCACCTCGCTCTCGTGCTCATCATGGACATCGCCAGCACGCTGCTCGGCTCGAAGGAACGCGCCTGCCAGCTGCCGCTCTTCGACTACCTCGTCGAGAAGATGTGCGCGCTGTGCTACGACCGCGCGTGGTACGCGAAGATGGGCGGCTGCATCGCCATCAAGTTCCTCTTCGAGCACATGCCACTCAAGTGGGTGCTCGACCACCAGTTCGTCTTCCTCAAGGCGCTGCTCTTCGTCATGATGGACCTCACGAACGAGGTTTCGAGCGGCGCCGTCGACATGGCGAAGTCGAACCTCGAGAAGCTGCTCATGGAGTGTAGCGCGTCGATCGAGTCGCAGGACGGCGCCGAGGAGCTGATCGCCGCGCAGAAGAAGTCGTTTCACAGCGTGACGCACGAGCTCGTGCGGCAGGTGACGTCGCCGAACGCGACCGTGCGCGAGCAGGCGATGCACTCGCTGCAGGTTCTCGCTAAGACCGTCGCCAAGTCGGTGACGGAGATCATGGAGCCGCACAAGGAGGTGCTCGTCGACATGATTCCTCCGAAGAAACACCTGCTGCGCCACCAGCCGGCCAATGCGCAGATCGGCCTCATGGACGGCAACACGTTCTGCACGACGCTCGAGCCACGCCTCTTCACGATGGACCTCGGCGTCGTAGAACACAAGGTGTTCTTCACCGAGCTGGTGAGCCTCTGCGAGGCCGACGACGCCGTCCTGCTCAAGCTGCCCTGCTACAAGTCGGTGACGAATCTTGTGCCGCTGCGCAAGAGCGCGTTGTGCGCGCTTGCCGCGTGCCACTACATCACCGCATGCCAGGACAAGATCTTCGGGCTTCTCTACAAGGCACTGAACTCGACGAACAGCGAGCTGCAGGAGGCCGGCTACGAGTGCATGAATAAGTTCCTCGCCGGCTGCCAGATCGACATGGAGATCGTGCACAGCGCCATGCGGCCGCTGCTGCTCATGCTCGGCGACTACCGCAGCCTCAGCCTCAACGTCATCCAGCGGCTCTCCTACCTAACGCAGCTCTTCCCAAACACGTTCCACGAGAAGCTGTGCGACCAGCTGCTCTGCCACCTGAACAAGTGGCTGGACGCGGCGATCGCCGCTCAGAAGAGCGCCTCGGCGGCGGCTAAGAACAGCGGCGCCGAGCTGTCGACGTGCGTCGCGATCATCGACATCTTCCACCAGGTGCCGGCGGCGAGCGCAAAGTTCGTCGAGCAGCTGACGCCGCTCGTGCTGAAGGCCGAGAAGACTCTGCTCGTCGAGGCGGGCAGCCCGTTCCGCGAGCCGCTCATGCGCTTCCTCCTGCGCTTCCCGCAGCAGACTGTCGACATGTTCCTCGCCGAGTCAAACGTCAAGGATCAGCAGTTCACGCGCTACTTCCGCTACCTGATCCGGCGTGACACCGGCGAGCCGTTCCGCGCCGTTCTCAAGTCCAACCCGAACCGGCTCATCGCGATGGCGTTCGGCACGATCCAGGTGCAGGGTCAGATGGTGCAACCGTCGAGTCCGTCCGGCACTGGCACGACGAAACACGAGCTCGAGTTCCAGGCGGTGCACATCACTAGCATCATCGTCAACTTCGACGACAAGTGGCTGTCGTCGCAGACGCAGCTTGTCGCGACGTTCCGCAAGATCTGGATCGCCGACGCGTTCCAGGATCGGCACCGCAAGCTCGACGGCGTCGACTTTGCGCACTGGTCCGGTGCAAAGCTCATCGTCAAGTGTCTGTTGAACTACTGCAAGCATCACCCGAACGACGTCGAGTTGCTCTACCAGCTGCTGCGTGCACTCACCGGTCGCTTCATCCCACACTTCCAGGAGCTGCGCGAATACCTCGAGACGAAGGTTGCGCACGACTATCCGGTCGAGTGGAAGCGCAAGGCCTTCTTCAAGTTCGTCGAGATCTTCCACGACCAGAACTTCCCGCAGACGCTGAAGGCGAAGATCCTGCAGTGCGTCATCATCCCGACGTTCCAGTCGGCGTTCGAGCGCGGCGACGGTGAACGGCTGATCGGGGGCCCGCCGGCGCCGGACCAGGACAGCAACGACAACGTCGTCAGCGTCTTCATCAACCGCATCATCGATCCGGAGAAGCCGTTCGGCACGTCGGACGCCGTGCGCATTCTGCTGCTGCAGTTCTCGTGCTTGCTCGTCGAGCACGCGTCGCCGCACATACACGACTCGGCGAACAAGAAGCAAGGCAACAAGCTGCGGCGGCTGATGACGTTCGCGTGGCCGTGCCTGCTGAGCAAGAACTGCGTCGATCCGACGACCAAGTATCACGGTCACCTGCTGCTTGCGCACATCATTGCCAAGTTTGCGATTCACAAGCGCATCGTTTTGCAGGTATTTTATAACGCAGGCACGTACCCACATGGTACAACACCTAGATGCAAAACAATGTTTTTTTATAACTAGTGGCGTTCGTTAGTGGATTGAGTAACTGAGATTTCATAGTATCGTTTCACATGGTAAATGTGCCTGCCCAAACATGCAGTTTAATGTCATGTAAAATTTATTTAGTTTCAATCACACACGCATCGATAGCAGGCAGTTGTAGGTGATAAGGTTTACCGATTGTTTGAGATCATATTTGTGAGTAATAACAATTTGTTTGCATAGCCATATACTATTAAATTACAATCAATTAAATCAAGAGCTAATATTACCTCTATTATAGTTATTAGCTATAGATATGATGAGCTCTCGATTGAATGTTAGCTACATATATATGAACTATGTGGCGTGAGCCCCCCTCATGCCGTTGTGTCCTTACTGCGTTGCAGGTCTTTCACAGTCTGCTAAAGGCACACGCGGTCGAAGCGCGCCTCGTCGTGCGACAGGCACTTGAGATCTTAACGCCGGCGATGCCCGCGCGCATGGAGGACGGCAACGGCATGCTCGCGCACTGGACGAAGAAGATCATCGTTGAGGAGGGCCACATCCTCGCGCAGCTCGTGCACATCCTGCAGCTGCTCGTGCGCCACTACAAGGTCTACTACCCCGTGCGGCACCACCTCATCGCGCACATGGTCACGTCGATGCAGCGTCTCGGCTTCACGACGACCGCGCAGATCGAGCATCGCAAGCTCGCCGTCGAACTCGCCGAGGTCGTGCTCAAGTGGGAGCTGCAGCGCATCAAGGACGAGCAGGAATCGGGCGGCGACACAGCGATAGCGCTGGCGGACGCCGACCTGGCGGTCGCGAGCCCGCAGACGAAGCGACCGGCGAGCGCCGAGCTGCCCGAGCCGAAGCGTGCGCGGCACTCGTCGTCGGGGACGACGCTCGCGACGGGAGACGGCAAGCCGCTGGACCGCGCGCACTGCGACACGGTCGTCAACTTCCTCATCCGCATGGCTTGCCACGTGAACGAGGCGGCGACGGCCGTCGGCTCTCCCGGCGAGCTGCTGTCTCGTCGCTGCGTCGCGCTGCTCAAGATGGCGCTGCGGCCGGACGTGTGGCCGAGCGCCGAGCTGAAGCTGACGTGGCTCGACAAGCTGCTACTGACGGCGACGCGCGGTGACGCCGACGCCCCGCAACCGACCAACTTTGCGAACGTGTGCACGGGGCTGGAGATCCTCGCGTTCCTCGTCGGCGCGCTCGCTAACGACGCGATCCTGACGACGTTCAAGCCGCTGCAGCGCGGCGTGTCGGCGTGCATGTCGTGCGCAAACACGAAGGTGGTGCGCGCCGTGCACAGCCTGCTCTCGCGGCTCATGGACAAGTTCCCGACGGAGTCGTCGACGTCGAGCGTCGCGTCCAAGCACGAGGAGCTCGAGTGTCTGTACGCGTGCGTCAGCAAGGTGATCTACGAGGGCCTCGCGCAGTACGAGAAGTCGGCCAGCAGCTCGCCGTCGAGTCTTTTCGGCACGCTGTTCATCCTGAAGGCGGCGTGCTTCAACAACCAGTGCTACATCGATCGTCTCATCACGTCGTTCATGCGCGTGCTCCTGAAGATGACGCGCGAACACCTGTGTCCGTCGTCGTCCGAGGCGAATCCGGCGACGAGCGAGCTTCTCATCCTCAGCCTCGACCTCGTGAAGAACCGCGTCGGCGTCATGAGCAGCGACATGCGTAAATCGTTCATCGGCACGATCCTCGTCGGCCTGCTGGAGAAGACGCCCGACATGAAGGTGATGCGCGCCATCACGAAGATGGTCGAGGACTGGGTGAAGACGAAGAACCCGATCCACATCAACCAGGGCCCGTCGCTGCGCGAGAAGTCGATCCTGCTCGTCAAGATGATGCAGTACATCGAGAAGCGCTTCCCGGACGACCTCGAGCTGAACGCTCAGTTCCTCGAGCTCATCAACCACGTGTACCGCGACGACGCGCTGCGTGGCACCGAGCTGCACAGCAAGCTGGAGCCCGCCTTCCTCGCCGGCCTGCGCTGCCCGCAGGCGCCAATACGCGCAAAGTTCTTCGACATTTTCGACCGCAGCATCCGCCGGAAGCCGTTCGACCGGCTGCTCTACATCGTCTGTTCGCAGAACTGGGAGTACATGGGTCCGCACTACTGGATCAAGCAATGCGTCGAGCTGCTGCTGGCTGTCGCCGTCACCGGCACGTCGATGTCCGGCTGCCTGCCCGCCGGTCAGCTGCCGTCCGTCATGTCCGTCATGGCGTTCGCCGACGGACAGGAGCGCGCCGAGTTCACGATGATGACGAAGATCAAGGAGGAGCCGATGGACGTCGAGTCGGTGAAGGAGGACGAGGAGATCGACATCGAGATCGGCGGCGGAGCGGACGATGGCGTCGCGGCCGGGCTCGGCAAGGACACCGCCGTGAAGAAGGACGCTCACGACCCGAAGCAGAACCTGCAGCTGCTGCTCACGCGGCAGGCGAAGTTCCTCGAGGGCCTGCGCGACGTCAAGACGGTGACATTCCTGTCGGCGCTCGCGCAGCTGTGCCACGCGAACACGCATCTCGCGCACGACGTCTGGCTCGCGCTGCTGCCGCGCCTCTGGAAGGTGCTCAGCGAGCGGCAGCAACAGACGCTCGCCGCTGAGTTGCAGCCGTTCCTCTGCAGCGGCGCTCACCTGATTCAGAAGGACTGTCACCCGAGCGCGGTGAACACGTTCACAGAGGCGGTCGCCGCGTGTACGCCCAGCGTGTCGATCAAGCCGGCCGTTCTCAAGTACCTCGGCAAATCGCACAACCTGTGGCACAAGGTGACGCTCATGCTGGAGCAGATGTCGCACGAGGGCGGGGCGGGCGCGGGCGGGGGCGGCGGCGGGGGAGCGCTGAGGGCAGGCCGCGCGGCCGACTGCTACGAATTTGAGCCGGTCGTCACGCCGCAGCAGGAGATTCTTGACACGCTCGCCGACATGTACGAGGGATTGCGCGAGGAGGACATGTGGGCCGGCCTGTGGCAGAAGCGCGCCAAGTACACCGAGACGAATGTCGCCATCGCCTACGAGCAGCACGGCTTTTTCGAGCAGGCGCAGACCGTCTACGAGACGGCGATGGCGAAGGCGCGCTCCGACCACAACTCGCAGACGGCCTCTCCCGCCCTGCACAGCGAGTACCGGCTCTGGGAAGAGCACTGGATCCGCGCGGCGAAGGAGCTCAACCAGTGGGACCTCCTGCTCGAGTACGGCAACGCGAAGGGGCACGGCAACCCTCTACTGATCCTCGAGAGTGCGTGGCGCGTGCCCAACTGGTCGCTGATGAAGGACGCGCTGGCGCAGGTCGAGCTCAGCTATCCGAAGGTGCTCGCATACAAGGTGAACATGTACCGCGGCTACATCGCCATCTGCCACCCGGAGGACCACCACCTGAGCATCATGGACCGCGTCGTGGAGCTCGCGAGCAGCCAGGCGATCAAGGAGTGGCGGCGGCTGCCGCACGTCGTCGCCAGCATCCACGTGCCGCTGCTGCAGGCCGCGCAGCAGATCGTCGAGCTTCACGAGGCCGCGCAGATCAACCAGGGCCTGCAGCCGGCCAACATCGGCCGCACAAACAGCCTGCACGACATGAAGTCGATCGTGAAGACGTGGCGTAACCGGCTGCCGATCATCTCCGACGACTTGAGCCACTGGAGCGACATTTTCACGTGGCGCCAGCATCACTACCAGTTCATCATCAGCCACTACGACAACCACGCGCAAGCCGACCCGCAGACGAACCACTCGATGCTCGGGGTGCACGCGTCCGCGCAGGCGATCATCAACTACGGCAAGGTCGCGCGCAAGCACAACCTGACGGGTGTCTGCCTCGACTCGCTCAGCCGCATCCACACGATCCCGAGCGTGCCGATCGTCGACTGCTTCCAGAAGATTCGCCAGCAGGTGATGTGCTACCTGCAGATGGCAGGCGCGATGGGCAAGGCAGAGCTGCAGGAGGGCCTCGAGGTGATCGAGTCGACGAATCTCAAGTACTTCACGAAGGACATGACGGCCGAGTTCTACGCGCTCAAGGGCATGTTCCTCGCGCAGACGGGTCGCTCGGACGAGGCGAACAAGGCGTTCTCGGCCGCCGTGCAGATGCACGACACGCTCGTGCGCGCATGGGCGCTCTGGGGCGACTACCTCGAGCAGATCTTCGTAAAGGAGCGCGCGACGCACCTCGGCGTCTCCGCGATCACCTGCTTCCTGCACGCGTGCCGGCACCAGAACGAGACAAAGTCGCGCAAGTACCTCGCGAAGGTGCTCTGGCTGCTGACGTACGACGACGAGCGATCGTCGCTCGCCGAGGCCGTCGACAAGTACTGCGTCGGCGTGCCGCCTGTCCAGTGGTTGCCGTGGATACCGCAGCTGCTCACCTGCCTCGTGCGCAACGAGGGCCGGCTCGTGCTGAACCTGCTCAGCCAGGTCGGCCGCATGTACCCGCAGGCCGTCTACTTCCCGATACGCACGCTCTACCTGACGCTCAAGATCGAGCAGCGCGAGCGATACAAGAGCGGCGGTGGCGAGCCGGCCGGCGGCGGCGACAGCAAGGGCACGGTGACCCCGACGAGTCTCTCGGCACCCGTCACGCCGCTCGGCCCAGGAATGCCTCCTGCGATCGCCACGGCGACGGCGACGACGACACCGGTTGCCACGACGATCGACGCGCTCTCGTCGACGCCGGCCGGCGCGTTGGAGCTCGGGCAGGGGGCGCTGTCGACGCCGCAGGGTGACGGGCCGCTGCGGAACGCTGGGCTGGAGCACCAGCTCGGGCAGCCGCCGCTGTCGGCGCCGCAGGGCGAGGGTCCGATCCGCGCGACGGCACCGATGTGGCGATGCAGCCGCATCATGCACACCCAGCGCGACCAGCATCCGACGATCCTGTCCTCGCTCGAGGGCATCGTCGACCAGATGGTCTGGTTCCGTGAGAACTGGTACGAGGAGGTGCTGCGGCAGCTCCGGCAGGGCCTCGCCAAGTGCTACGCGATCGCGTTCGAAAACCGCGGCGCGGTCAGCGAGGTAGCGATCACGCCGCACACGCTGAACTTCATCAAGAAGCTCGTTAGCACGTTCGGCGTCGGCTTCGAGAACGTGTCGAGCGTCGCGAACACGTTCTCGAGCGCGGCGTCCGAATCTCTCGCACGCCGCGCGCAGGCCACCGCACAGGACCCCGTCTTCCAGAAGATGAAGAGCCAGTTCACGGGCGACTTTGACTTTGCGATGCCTGGAGCGATGAAGCTGCACAACCTGATCAGCAAGCTGAAGAAGTGGATCAAGATCCTCGAGGCGAAAACGCGCCTGCTGCCGAAGTCGTTCCTCATCGAGGAGAAGTGTCGCTTCCTGAGCAATTTCTCCCAGAGCACCGCTGAAGTGGAGCTGCCCGGAGAGTTCCTGCTGCCGAAGCACAGCCACTATTACATCCGCATCGCGCGCTTCATGCCACGCGTCGAGATCGTTCAGAAGCACAGCAGCGCCGCGCGCCGCCTCTACGTGCGCGGCCACAACGGCAAGGTGTACCCGTACCTGATCGTCAACGACGCCTACCTGTCGGATTCGCGGGGCGAGGAGCGCGTGCTGCAGCTCATGCGCATGCTCAACACGTTCCTCAACAAGCAGAAGGAGACGAGTCGACGCCTGCTTAACTTCACCGTGCCGCGCGCTGTCGCCGTCTCGCCACAGATGCGCCTCGTCGAGGATAACCCGTCGTCGGTGTCCCTCAGCGAGATTTACCGGCTGTGCTGCGCGCGCCACGGCACCGACCACGATCTCCCCATCGCGCGCTACTACGAGCGCCTCGCAGCTGTGCAAGCACGCGGCTCGCAGGCCAGCCACCAGGTGCTGCGTGACATACTGCGCGAGGTGCAGACGAACGTGGTGCCGCGCGGCATGCTGCGCGAGTGGACGTGCCACGCGTTTCCAAACGCCACCGACTACTGGACGTTCCGCAAGTTCTTCACCGCACAGCTGGCGTTGCTCGGCTTTGCCGAGTTCGTACTGCACCTCTCGCGTCTGAACCCGGACATGCTCTACGTGCACCAGGACTCTGGCTTCCTCAACGTCGCCTACTTCCGGTTTGACGTCGACGACGTCAGCGGCGACCTCGATGCGAACCGGCCCGTGCCGTTCCGGCTGACGCCAAACGTCACCGAGTTTCTGACGCCGACGGGCGTCGCGGGCCCGCTGACGGCGGCGATGGTTGCAAGCGCGCGCTGTCTCGTGCAGCCGCAGTACAAGCTCGCGTCGTTCCTGCGCGCGATTCTACGCGACGAGATGATCGCCTGGCACAAGAAGAAGCAGGAGGACACGCAGCCGCCGGGCAGCCAGCCGCAGGACATGGAAGGCGAGCTGCTGATTACGATGGTGAACAAAGCGGTCGGCGCAATCAACACGCGGTTGCAGAATCTCGCAGCTTTCGAGGGTGCCGAGAGTCGCGTGAGCACTCTGGTGGCAGCTGCAAACAGCCACGATAACCTGTGCCGCATGGACCCGGCCTGGCATCCATGGCTGTAGAAACACAGCCACCCTCCACCCCACCCACACACATACATGACACCCGTGACCCCCCAGACATGGCAACAAATGCTGTGACTGCAGATGGTAGGCTGTAGATAGTGAAACCTAGCTGCGGACAGACCAGTAGATTGCAGATATCGTAAACTGTCAAATTATGTATGATTAGGGTTCTCCCTATTCATTTCAAAAGGCATATAGTTTTTTAGTTGGGGAAAGGAGGCAGTTGTATCCACACTCTGACACATCCTGACTCAATTACACCTGTCACTAAGCAGTCCCAATACACAGGTACACCGATGTGAACACACACCTATGAAAACACAGCATGGCTGTGTTTGGATTGTCAAAGGTAAACACAGCTTGTAATTAAACATGTCGATTAGGCAAGTAAGCTATGTCGGAGGATTGATGGGCTGTCGCAAATTAGCTTCAGCTTTGAAAGCTTCGGCTGCATCGTTAAATCAGGAAGACATAGCTGCAGACACTAAAACGTGGTTGTACACAAGGTTGACATTACTATGTGGAATTTGTGATATGTACGATCAGAAGAAAAACTCGTGATGATCATCATCATAATCATATTGAAGATGATGATAGTGAGAAATGTGGAAAATTAACTCATATAGATATATTATGTAGAAAAGAGAGTGCAAGCAATGGCATGTATATTGGAAATTTGTTTGTAACAACATATATACGTTTATAACAATAAAAATCTTGAAATGATTATTAGTGATCCGGTTCAGCAGAGAAAGTGTAGCGAATGCTAGTATAATAATTGTTCATTTATAATATCTTGTTGCCCAAACATCTTGGTCAACTATGTATTTAAAAGTAACAATAATGCAAGTTTTTGTAACGACATGATAAAAACATTTATCTAGGTAAACATTAGTTGCCACGTTTATTAAGATTATAATGGTCTCCTGGACATGGTATAATGCACTTTTGGAACAGTATTTGGAATGCATAAATGTAGCACATATATGTATATTTTCAGTGCATGGATGGTATACACTTGGAATTTAATCACAGGAAACTATAATCGAGTCTGCAATGTTATTTTGTATGTATTGGATATGGTAAACTGTTCTTAGTATTATTAGGGGGTAGATAATAGGGAAAATTTCCCCCCAATATCTACTCCTGGTATTGTGCATAAATGTGTACAAACTAGGTCTCTGTTAGTGTTTTATGTTATATCAGGAGTAAAAAATATTTTGTTTCACTTCTAATTATATACATGTCTCTGCTTTCTTCAAGCTCATATAGAGGATCTTGAAATGTCAGTGCGAGCAACATGGCTTATAGACACTAGATATTGTACATTTTGGGCATATCGCCACAAGTGTGAGAAAGGTATATACTTCTTGTAATTGTTCTGAATAATTGTTTATGGGTTCTCATTAGTCAGGTTCATTTTCAAGCATTTATTGTTGTGGTCAATATTCTGGCCCCTTTCTTTTCAGTGAGTTATTTTGTTTTGTCTAATTGCTTGCCTTCCTATTAGTTAAGGCATGCTTATGTATAGAATAAATATTTTAGTAGTTTCGATGTCAGTAAATGATAAATTATAAACGGTAAATAATAAATTTCATACATAAATATTTTTTATAGCTGTTCACCATGCAAAATATGTATGTTTGTAGTGCGTCTATCTTTGGATATATGTGTATTCATGCGTGGAAGACATACTGGCCAGGTAAAAAAATCTCCACGAAGTGTTATTACCTATTTACAAAATTACATTGATAAAGCTTCTGGCTCATGTACAAACAAAATGGTAGTCATTTATATATATTGAGACTCCACTACAATTTCGACTTATCATTCTGCTAATATTGCTATGTTATTCCATTATTTATATTAATTCCATTAAAGTTTCCATTGCACTTATTCGGGTGATACTCCATTAGGATTCTACATATAGTGTTCCCAACTTTAATGTCATTAATGGTCATAATAACATTGTCATATATACATATATATATATATATATATGGTCATGGTCATATATTAGTTTGTGGTTTAATGTCATTTAGGTTAGGGTTAGGGTTAGGGTTAGGATTATCAATCATTAATCATTAATGATATCAAAGTTGGGAACACTCCTAATGGAGCGTTAGCCAGTTATTCCATTAAAAACAATATACATCATGTATACAATTCAGTGATCTTTTAATAACAAGAGCCAGTATTTCTTTTATTACCCATGAATACATAATACATATCATATTCAAGCACATTTTGGATGACCTTGTGACAAATAATATCTTTACTCCTCTCAACCATGGCTTCGTATCTGACCACTCGCCGGTTTCCCAGCTCCTCACAACTAGACACCACCTTATATGGTATCACAAGCAGGAGCAGGCAAATGTCATCATACTTGACTTTTCAAATGCATGTGACACTGACGCTCATAGGGTCTATGTCACCCAGGGTACTGCCGGAACGTACCCTGATCACTATTTGATATGGATAGGGTTAGGGAGTAGGCGTAGGCGACTCCCTAGACTCGTTAGTGGAGTAGGCGAGGTACGGTCCGGCATATTAGATAGTACCAGGGTACTTTCCGGTATACCGGACCGTACCCAGGGTACGTTCTGGCAGTACCTACCCTGGGGGACATAGACCCTCTCAGCGACACTGACCCCTAGATGATATTATTGATGTACATGTTGTGTACATGTACACTACAGGCTACTGCACAAACTTTCATGTTATAGGATCACTGGCCCTCTACACAATGGCTACAGACATTCCTCATCACTAGACAGATGTCAGTAAGGCTGAGAGGGTCTATGTCCCCCAGGGTACTGCCGGAATTAACGTACCCTGGGTACGGTCCGGTATACCGGAACGTACCCTGGTACTATCTAATATGCCGGACCGTACCTCGCCTACTCCCTACGAGTCTAGGGAGTCGCCTACGCCTACTCCCTAACCCTTACCATATCAGATAGTTACCAGGGTACGTTCCGGTATACCGGACCGGACCCAGGGTACGTTCCAGCAGTACCCTGGGGGACATAGACCCTCTCAGCGTCAGTGATGGGGAGCATGCTGTACCTGCATCATTTGTGGTATCACAGGCCACTGTATTGGGACCCTTACTACATTTACTCGACCACTTCGTAGAAGGATGGGAATGTGGTGACCCTGTGAAGCTAGGTTGGAAAGATTTACATAGGCTAGAGTCTTTCTCATCATATAATATTTGTGATATTACGTATTACCTGAAATGTAAACTATTTGCTTACTAAGAGCAACTCGATTTAGTTCATTTACCATTATTCATCTTGACGCCAGTCACATTAGTTGCTGTGAAATCTGATATACTCGCGTGAAGACAGGCTTTACTTTTACACTCGCTTAACAGGTCCAATTTCATGTTCCAACTTGCTTATTAGCTATCTCAATTCTAATGCCAAAAAAGATGTCTCTAACCTGCAAACAACTTGCCATAAACGGCAACATTAATACTAGCAATTTTTTAACAAAGGTAGTAAATAAAAATATCTTACATGTGTTATAAGAGCAACATTGTATTATATTAAAGAAAGCATAGACCAAAGATTACACTTCTGCTGACATGGCCAAAATATAGAATGTAAGACAAGAATCGTAGTCCCAATCAAACAAGCCTTCGTGAATCGATAACATGCAGTGTCTGAGAGAGTTACTCGTGGCACTTGCGATTCTTGCGTTCACACACAATAGTGCCCAAGCTGTCTTCAAAAGACTGTCACATTTTTATGAGCAAATCTACAAAAAATGTTATTTAGGTTCAAATGTAACACCAAACATCACAAAGTATTATTCCTGAACCCTCACTGGATAACGTTGCGTTTAGAGGAGTTTAAAATCTTAAACTTGCACCAAAATTGCTCATTTAGCAAAATGTATAGAGTCGCGACTGTTTGATCACATCAAATGATACAGTCAAACAGATATAATACCACAACTTAACGAAGATTGAACAAAATCATGTAATTCATAATCATTACTTTCATAGTGTATAATTTGTGAAAAAATACTAGTATCATAAAAGTTGAGATAGTCACTTTAAAATAACCTAAACAGTGCAAACTTGTACCGAATAATTTCAGACTGCAGTGTACAAGTTGGTCTGTACGCATGCAACTTCGAAGGCTTTCACTTCACTTACAATACTATTTCTCAATCATAAAAACATGACTATAACATTGACAAGAAATAATGTGTATGACAGTAAGCAGACAATACGTATTTACCGATTTCTGCTACATTACAAAAGAAACTTCTGGAACGTCAAGGTAGATGCGATCGAGGCAATGGTGCTGCCACCTATTGCTTAAAAATCATGAAAACTTTGCCTTAGAGAAGTCCATCTCAGGATGTTGCTGCATAAACCTGAAAGCAGATAAACACAATAATTTAAATATAATAAATTTATGTAAAATATAAAAATTGTAATAATACTGCTCCCTGCCACCCCAACTACTTACATACATTACATCATCTCTGAGTTTCCTTATTACATACTTCATCAAAGGTCTGCACCCACCAATTCATAATTCTTATACAAGCATCCACACATTGTCTGCTCTCTCCTTGCAACGCCAACCATACCCCACCTACTTTAACCTGCTGCTAACCCTATATGGCCACAGACCTAGACCACATTATGTGCCGCATCTGCTACCTAACCCCGCTCCCCTCCTATATTCCTCTTCGCACGCATACTGTTGCTACGACGATGTGCCAACTACATACTTTTGCATGATGTCCTGCTTTTTCTTCTCCTCGGAATTAGGAAGACCGAGTTCTTTCTGCCGCTGGTCGTACATCATCTTCTCCACCATGCTACGCGTCTCACCATCCAGGTCCGACAACTGCACGCAAACACCACAAATACACAAACTCATGTACCAACTACAGGACCGATGCAGTAACGGATGAATAAATGAATGAACGAATAAATTCACTTACCAACTACACAATTGGGGCATTTTAGTATAAACAAATTAATCTACCAATTGTATTACAAAAGAATCAGGGGTTACAAAAATCTTCTTTTTTTACCCATATGGCAGGTGTATTCAAGAATAAACAAACAACTAGTTAAAATTCGAAAAAACAAACATTTAAAAAAACTATTAGCAGCTAAAAACAACTGTAACAGTTATAAGAAACCTCTTTGTGACAGTGGCACATCCTCACCTTAGAGTTTTCCGGCTGCACCTTCTTTGTGTTTAATTCAGGGTCAGTTGTCACCAGTCGATTCCACCACTCCATCTTGTTTATCTGGTAACCATAAAAAAGATTATTTGGATTATACAGTGAAACCCCAATTTTACGCGCCCCAAATTAATGTGAATTCTTATATAACGCGATGAGTCATTGGACCTTTTTTTGCTGTTTCCGGAACAAAATTTTTTTTGGTGAGTTAAGCCCGCCTTAGGTCGAAGCGACGATCGCCTATAGATCGCGCAACTAAATAAGTTTACATGAATTGTTGCTGTGTGCATGTTGTGTACATGACTGTATGTGTTGTTTCTTCATGCTGATTTTCTTGAACCCCGATTGAACGCGACCCCACTTTTTTCGTGATGACATTTCATGGACCTCAACGATCGCGTTATAACGGGGCCACACTGTACTACCATGTCAATAATACCTTCTCCATATTGACCACAACAGCTTTCTTGTCCTCTATGTTCCACATGCATTCTTCCACCCTAAGATTGTTGTACAGCTCTCCATCAATGACGGGAGGATGACCTTTAAGCATAACCTTAAGATGTCGCTTTTGAATATCAATGACCAGGTCTTTTGCTCGAATGGGAAAGTTGACGTTGAAGGGTACTTTAAGCTGGGAATAGATGCATATGAGTACACATTAGAGAAAGCAATACACAGAAGAATGCAAAATTTTCATGACAGTGTATCTGTCAACACACAACACTTATTATTGTTAGGGGTAGAATGATTCATCGATATATCGATGTCTCTTGATACAAACCTTGACAATACAAGCATATATATGTTTGACAATTTACAAAATATCATCAAATTAGTAGTTAGAGGGTCAGGTAGTGACCCGAGTTTGCTAGGGGGGTCCGGCATGCCCCCCCGGAATTTTTTTTTTATTCTGAGATGCAATTTCCTGCATTCTGAGGGTCAAAAATGACAATAAATCGACAAAAAATGACAAAAATTTTTTTTCCCCCTAATCACATTGAAATTCGTAGTTTTATACAAACTGGTCGTAGTGGTGCAAAAGGAATAGAAATTCGTATAAAATACGGATAAATCGTAGTGGTTGGCATCTCTGCAAGAGTGTTGCCCACCTCGAGGTCACACAGCGTCTGAGTCCACTTGTAGTTGGGCAGATCAGCTCCATTTCCTGAGTTTGGCTTCATCTTGCCGCGGTCCTTCTCGTCTTCCTCCTCATCCTAGAAGATTACGAAGATGACTTCACATCAGGTGCTATCAGCAGGGCAGTTAATAGCAGTGCAACGACATATAGATAAATCATTAACTAATTAATACATTAATTATCATAAATAGCATGAGCAGGGTAGTAATAACACTACTAGTATAAAGGTAGATGCACAATAAATCCATATAGAACTTTAATTACATCAGCACATATATACTAATGTACACTACAGATAGAACAAAGTGATTAAAAGTTGTATCCTCTTTGCACAAAGTACAACAACATACATACACTGTCTGCAGACTTTGCCTCCTCTGGCTTCTCCTCACTGACACTGATTCTGTCACCAGCACCTTCTGCTGGCATCTCCCCATCTGCTTTTTTCTTTTCGACGTCGATCTCCTTCTGTAGTTGCATCGCCTCCTCCTCTGTCAACTCCTTGATTTTTGGCTCTTCCTCTTGTTGTTGCTGCTGCTGTTGTTTCTTTAAGCCAAAGAACAAACAGAAAGATTCACATAATGACACGAATGTTAATAGTCTCTGAAGAAAGCATCTTTGTTTTAAACCAGGCTGACATCTATTATTACTACTTAACATGGTAACCCAACTAATATCATATCCAAGCAGTAATGTAGTAACCATATGTGTACCTATGTAGAAAAGTAGTAACCACACTTGTACCAGTAGTAATGTACCTTCTTTGCAAGTGCTTCTTCCCTTGCCTTAAGTTTTGCTGCCTTCTCCTGTTGCTCCTGCACTCTCCTTTCCAGTGCTAGCTTCTCATGGCGTCTGAACTTTTCCAAGAGTAACTGTTAGGAAAAACCCAACGAGAAACAAGAATCCTTAGAGACTCCCACCACCATAATGATGCTCGCAAATACATTTATCAACTGATATGAATTTTTTTTATTGCAAAGCAAGCAGACATGATGATACTTTTGTTTCTTCAATATTAACAAGTCCATAATAGAGAAGAATTATGCACGATATGGGCTTTCTTTCATGGATTCTTGACATTAACCCATGTAACTGATTATGCAATAAAGCCAACATTACGTAATTTCTTGTGTGCCATAACTCAACTTAGCTATCAAATCATGCACACCGACCACTTTATCATATTTTGTAAATTGCGTAAATATAACAAAAAAACTATACCCATAAGAAAAACAATTATTGAACACACAAATAAACTCCTAACAGTCTGGGTCAGAATACTGCAAACAAGAGACAAATGAAGACCCAAGAAATTTCAGGCTGGCCTACAGACGCACCTTTTCCGCTGCACTCCCTCCTCCTCCATAGAAGAAATCTGTTTTACGCCCTAGGAAACTGAAGATGGTGTTGAGGAGCTAGCAAATAAAAACAATAGTCATAACGGCATAGGTCCATAAACTAAAGCCTAGCTATGATCAAGATTATTAGCCCCTAGGCCTACCCGTGTTGCCATTTGCTCCACTACAGCCCTATGGCAGACCAACGGGCAACACGGGCAGAGCTATTGATCACAAGAGCTGTAACCATGTATTTGTGGGTATGTACTACAATGATGAGCATATTTGGCTTCTTTAAAAGATCAGAAATGGAGGAATAGAATGATGGGTACAGATATAAACGTAACCATATCATTTAATACCCGTGATGTTAGTGTGCTGTTTATATGCAAATTTGGTTTGATAACGGTTAGTTGGAAAAAACCATTCAATTAAAGTGTGAAAATATGGGGTATTGACAAAGACTTACAATAGTGTTTATAATTACCTGTTGCACAATGAAAGGTGACGATTAAAAGATCTACTTCCACAAACGTTTTCTGGCCAATGACACAATGCCAAAACAGTCAAGCTGCCACTTTAGGGAAGCGTGCACTACCTTTAGGGAAGCGTGCACTACCTTTTCTAGCTGAAACTTGCTGTATGCACTATAACTAACACAGTGAACTGCCACAACAATAACTTAACTTAATCAGCAGCAGTTGCATAGAACAGCAAACTTTAACCAGTACTGTTGGCTATAGCACAACAATCACTTTATTACGGTTATAGTTATACTAGAACTTTATAGTATATAGCAGATTATAAACAGATAATCTATAAAATTAGAAAGTAAACTGAGCAACTCAAGTTCAATTAACAAAAACTTTATTACAGTTACAAGGGTAGAAATCAACTTTTGAACAAGGGAGTCGAACAAACAACCTGCTCTTGAAAAGAGGGAGTCTGCAGTCTAAAGTTCAAAACTAAAGATATTAAAAATAACGCATGTGCTTATTTTAAAGATTCATGCGGTTGCACGTCTGCCAAATTTTCTTTGGACATTTGCTGAAAAAATACGGTAATACCGCGAGGCCATGCTCTGGAACGAACTAGTTAGGCAGAATTTTCAGCGAGTGACACGGACTCCTGCATATGTCAAATCAGGGAGTCCGACAGTAAACCAGGGAGTATTTGACTCCGGACTCGCGTAAATTTCGCACCCTGCAGTTATAGTTACACAAGTGATAGTATACAGTAGATTATAAACAGATAATTTATCAAATTAGAAACCAAACTGCAACTTAAATTTATATCCACATGCAATTTACTATAGGTCTATCTAGATATAGATTCGTACTTGTAGCACTGATACTAGAAGTGACTAGGATCATTATTTAATTTATAAGTGAAATACATCTGGTTCTCTATGATATTCTTTCTAGATTTTACAATTAAGATTTTGTTAATAAAAACTGAAATTTCGTTGAATAAATAGTTTGACAAAGCGGTGTAGGTTTATTGAAAATCTATTCACAAATCCATATACTTATTACTGTTAGTTACAGTATATTAAATTAGTGTCAACTGTCATGTTTATTTATTTTCATACCACTTTCACTGTGTATATGTGACCCGCTCCAGCAAAACCAGGATTAAGTAGGAAATTATACAATTCAGTTATGTGCATATCTTAATAGATCATTTAATTACCTTTAAAATTATATATAATATTTGGCTATATCTAAAGAATTGACCGATCTACAACAATTTGAAGATCGGAAACCGACTTATTCCGGAATATGCAGCTTTTGAGAGAAAGCGTTCCGGGTAAGGGGCCAGTCGGAGATCTTGTTGGGTTACATTTAATATTGTATCCAAGCCACAGGCACTTGGGTCGTTTCAATAATAAAATGATAGTTAATAAGCCTACAACATGTCAGTACTAGACCTGGCAGTATTCATAGTTTGATTTGACCTAATAACTTCCCTTTAATACCGTCCAATACACCGCTGCAACACACATTCCTATAGCGCGCACGCCATTGTGCACAAATACACAGTAGGATAGAGAAGGTAAGAAAGCGTCCGCACAGAAATTCCAGAACGCTCTAATCTTTTCACAACATTACAGCAAAAACAGTCGCCCGTGTGACGTCACTTCGCATTAACAGCGCCGGCGTGGCTCGTCTTGGAGTTGGGCAGGCGGATGCAACTCCTCCCAGAATGCAATGCGCCACCATTACTCATGTATTGCTCCCATTTACGAAACGGCTCCGTGGGAAATTCGAGCAGGATTTCGCGTATAATTCTGAGTAAAGTATGTGGTACCAAGTTGCAAGACGGATATTTCGAACAAGTGACCATTCAGCTACACACAGATGCCAATATCATGGCGGTTCGTTGTATATTTTTGCTGTAATGTTGAGAAAAGATTCGAGCGTTCTGGAATTTCTGTGCAGACGCTTTCTTACCTTCTCTATCCTACTGTGTATTTGTGCACAATGGCGTGCGCGCTATAGGAATGTGTGTTGCAGCGGTGTATTGGACGGTATTGAAGTGAAGTTATTAGGTCAAATCAAACTATGAATACTGCCACGTCTAGTACTGACAAGTTGTAGGCTTATTAACCATCATTTTATTATTGAAACGGCCCAAGTGCCTGGGCTGTGATCCAAGCAGCGTGCGCAGTGTACTTGCGAGTTATGTTGCACAGGAACATTTGAATGGGGTTTACAATAAATTATCAGTAATAATAGGCAAAAAGCATCTAGAGTTTAGTAGTAATTAAATTTCGTGTTTATTTACCATCATTTTATTATTGAAACGTTCCAATTGCCTGTGTCATTCCTCTCCGAGTCTCTCTGATTCGGCGACAGTTCATGGAAATTAGAAAATAGAATGTTCGAGCCTGTTGATATTTCAATTATTTACCCATAATGTCCCGCGTAACGTATGCGTATAAATGTTATGCAGTGATGCGACTAGATATACACAATAGATATTCTGTGCGTAAACTTACATCAGGAACTCCCCCCTCGTGCTGCTGTGCCATAGCAAGCAACATGCTATCAAATCTATCTTCCCCGCTGGACGCCATCATGACTCGTTGTCAACGGGCTGCCCTCTGTCGCCTCGTTTTAAAATAAAAACCATTTTGCTTTTTATCTTGACTTTGTTGTGGTAGTTGAGGTTTTATCGTGATTTCACATATTCTTTAATTAAACCAATATAATGTGATGCTATCTCCGCAATAAACTTTATTTGAATTTAATATTGAAGAGGGGGGGGGGGAGCATAGATGTTACAAAAAGTACAATGTACAAGATGCAAAAGAAAAATGCAGAATTACACTGCATAATACATTTCTTGTGTTTTATCTTCTATACTATAGATAACGTTATATATATTAGACTATAGCCTAACAGTTCATATGCATACCAGTTATAATTAAAATAGATAACAATCCATTCAAACTTTCACAATCGTAGCTGTATTCATCTGCTATATATTTGTATTGATATAAAGACTAAAGTACAATTTATAAAAGTACAATTTCAAGCCAAGACTAAGTGAACATGTGTGAAAAAGGACATCAATCACCCCGAGTGCCAACAAGATTATATAAATTAATACGCATAAATAATTGTAAATGACTCTTGCCATAATATATTCTTAGATAATTATTTGTGAATTTCATATGCGATTTTGCCATTGTTCAGACCACCCTATTTTGTATTGTGCTAGCATGTTCGAAGTTGTATCATAGATAATATGATCGCGTAATTGATAGTGTAATGTTGTCACTCTATAAGACGAAGTACTCTCGTATGTAATGCAAATAGTGACCTACAGCCACCCACAGTGACACTCCCCACAGGTCCATTGCCAGGTGCTCTGCGTGTGAGACTGTGAACGGCACCCACGACCATGGCAGGTAGCTCCCAAACACCTCGCTGCCCAAGTAGAGAAATATCGAGTTCATGCCTGCGATACACAATTGAGTAACTTTCTTTTCATTTATTTTGGAACCCACAATTTGCTGAAATAAATAATGTTCAAGTCCACGATTCCAGTCACAATGTGTTTGTTTGCCAGGTTCTATAGTTTCATCACATAGCATGCAACTAAGAAATTTAGGATGGCCCCACCTGGTTGGTAAAATGGACTCCCATTCCATATGTATGCGACATCGATAAGCCAATAGAAAATGGCAAGCACGAGGAATGCAGAGCCTGCCATGCCCAGTACGTATGAAACAGACCTGTGTTAACATAAATAACATTACAGGTATAAGTATAAACATACATAGGTGTACTAGGGCTGTTGTTACAATTAATATAGATTTCACCACATGGGCGATAAAGCCTAATTAGTGCTCGATTCTCATTAATTAGCTTAAATTGTCAGCACTGAGATATATATAGAGATGAGGATGAGATCTACTAAAGCTCACCAAAGATTCTTGTTAACTGGTATCCATCCATCATTAGCTGATGCATTACACAACATGAGGGACACACCTCCCTGTAAAACAAGTTGTATGTGTATACTATAGCATCTATCTGCAACTTCCAACATGTAGAGTGTATTCACACATCAACAACTTCTGTTGGAAGAATAAATTAAATGGCCATTTTTTCATTAAATAAAAAAAAATCGACACGAGTTCAAAAATGAATAAACGTGTTGAGAGTATATGACTTTTTATGACAAATCCTCGCAAAAAATGTTCAAGAGTTCTTACAGCTTGCTAGAACTAAAGTAAAAGAAGACGTACCTATAGTAGCCATAATTGTTATCAAATGTAAAAAAATGTACCCAGGTATTATTTTGATGCATCTGTTAGAAACAAAACGTTGATTTTAAAGCTGACCTTGAAGAAAATAGAACGACACGCACAGTTACACACTCTCACGTAGTGTTACTATATAAGTGGCTCATCGTGTCAGATGTAGTGTGTACTATATTTGGCAGGTACACAAATTAAGGTACACAATGCTAATGTGTTACAGACTTACGGTGATTAGTGCCCAGAGTAAAAACCTGACAATCCTGCTTGTGTGATCGCTGAACGTTGAGACTATCTTGCCAGCCTATAGACATGCAGAAACCCAAATTTCAGTATATATTGTAATCTTTCATTCGACTCCCTCCACGATGGAAACATATATGTGGTATTCTGACGTTACACTTGCTTTATATGAAATCGAAATTGCAATCAGCAGCAGGTGCGATCAAGTAAACATTTCGCTGTTTTGATAATCACTCATTATCGCTCATACATATCTCATGCAAAATCTGTTTGATACCTGAACGCCGAGAAAAACCAGGAAGGCAGATGACAATGTTCCCAGAATTCCCTCAGGGTCGTAGGGCGTTGCAGTTTGATACAGCTTCTGTAAAAATAACTGGACGTTGTACACAGGCATTTATTTTTATGGGCATTTAAACATATGACTTATCTATCAGGAGACAATAACCAAATATTGTGTAAAAAAATCTTTAGTTAAGTTACTATACCTACATAAATGATGACAGGACATTGAGAACTATGATACAACCTTTTCGGACCCATGTGAATACATGTGATTCACTCCCAGTATCAGTCTGTCTATGTAACCAGCTGCTCCTCCAGTGCAGTTTTCATATGTACTATGTTCGCTGATGCCTCCTGGGCCTAGGTAACCCCTATGCACAGCCAGCAAAACGAAATGTTCACTCACTAGGGTCACGTCTAATTGGTTGTCTTGCTGAATAACATCGCTAAGTATTTTAGAGGTGAGTCGATAGGTAACTAAGGTTTCGTGATTTGCTGCACATAAAGTATAGATGTGTAGCTATATATACTGTAGAAAAAATGCAACCAGGAGGAATTTGAGAGATTGTGTATGTTACGGCAAAAGCGAGATCATGCATTTATGGACAGTTCTGTAGTTTGTTTTATTCTATTTTACCATAATCAAATACAATCTAAAGTAACTGCACTTGTGTGTGTGGGCTTTTACATATATACCTATAACATATCCCACCATATAAATATATACTGTCTCTCTTTGCCAATTCATCACTTACTTGCCACAATCTGGCACTTCTAGCAAGAATGTGAGGCAGAAGTGCACAGCAAGAAGTACCAGCATTGCCAGCCACTGCAACCAGTACGCTCTCACATCTCTAAAAGCAGCACAGCAGCCGTGCTGAAACAATGACAATTAGGTGCCAAATATGGCATAGCATAATCTTACGAGATCATTTCGGAAGGGGGTGACAATAAGAGAAAGAAAAAAACGTTTTATTGCTCATAATTGAAAAGAATAAATTGACCCATAATTAAAAGTAAACAATTACTAGTCTCGTAAAGGCCCTTAATTACTTGGAGTAACATAACCCAGTCTATGACAGTTGGTTAAATATGTAACTGACAGAAAGGAACCATTCTATACAGGGATACCTTAAACCAAGTAATTTGTCTGAAATACAAACTCACCTGATGGCAGTTGGAATCTCTATACAGCAGATAAACAAGTATAGCCACAATCAGGTAACACAGACTAAACCGCTGCAGAACGCCAGGAATGCGCAGCTTCTCCAGATCATTGCCTAGAGTAACGATAGAGACCAGCTTCAACATTTGTATTGATATGATATTCTGCAAGGACGTTGTTATCTGACATAATCATATTACCTGCCGCTAGACCATGCAGTGCTCATATGAATGGTGTGGTGACCATGCAGTGATTATATTACCTATGTGGTGACCAGTGATTATATTACCTATGTGGTGACCAGTGATTATATTATCTGAGCAGCACTCAATCATTATATTACCTGTGTGGTGACCAACCAGTGATCACACTACCAGTGATTCCATTACCTGAAGGGTAGCCAGAATTTAGCATGAGTCCAAGCGCAAATAACTTGACTGACCGCCAGACCATCTTCCTGATGACCAACGTTCTTCCAACTTTCTTCCTCACTTGACTCTCAACAGACAGCATAATGGAGACGCCCATTATCCACATGAACCTCCAAAAGATGAGATAACAACCTATCATCAACATGCCAAATACTGCCGTCTAGTTAGTAAATAGAGGGAGGGTATAATAATGTGACTGAATTTCATATGCTACATATATATATATATATATATATATATATATATATATATATATATATATATATATATATAAACAATGGCAAAAAATTAATCTAATCCACAAAGACACCCTTTTTTTCTAGACAAAATTAAAGCTCTTTTTCTATTATGACTACATCTAGGGGTTACTAACCATGGAAAGACTAAGTCAGCTACAGTGAGTCCATTCCAGCGCGCATGTTTGAAGAACCAGTACTTGCCTCCACCATAGTTTACAAATATCATCACGGCAATGCTTAGCCTGCAACATCACAAACACCATGATCATCACCAAATTCTCTTCTTTTTGGCACTGTTAGAATATATTTTGTTGTTGTTTGAATGCTGAATGTCGTTTTATTTACTATATATAGCCAGACCACGATGACTAAAATTCATAGTGAATGAGAAAAAAGTTTAGTGAACAATAATCTTTGCTAGGTTGTTGAGCTAATTATTTTTTTTAATTGCAAATCACATGTGAATTTTAGCCTAAGCCTGTAACATGTTAACCTAAGCTACACATTATATCATAGATATATGTTCATGGTTATGAAGAATGGACGATATAATGATGCACACATTACCCTCTAAATGTATCCAGTGATCGCAGCCTTTGCTTCTGCCTGTCATTGGTGAGGATTGGTGGTTCAACCGTGCCCCATGCAACAGGAGAGGATGGTGTGCTAAGGCTGGTAAGGCTTGCAGCATTTATTGTGTCACTTGCATACGAATGTGCAGAATGGGAACCAAGATCCTGCCAACATAAACAACTTTGATAAATGCAACCATAGAAGGTGATGAATGATTGTTAGCATACTTAGACACAGGAAAAACATCATCTAATGCTACCATTATCTATCATTTTATGCTATATAAAAATGTGCTATCATATATTTATCTTGTAATTTTCAATTAACATAACTGTATTTAGTTGAATACTTGCCGCATTAACCAATCTCTCTGTGTGCCAGCAATCCATGATCTTGTGGATAATCTGATATCTGAAATACATTAACAAATAATATGTATTAGACATGATATGTTATATATGCTAGTGGCAGATTCTACATCTTAGAATATTTGAAACCCTGCTAGCTAAGAAACAACATTAAGAATATATACCTGTGTAAGAAGGTGATCAGGAGCCATATCAATGCCATCACAAGGTAAATGCAAAATGAAACCAGTATGGCTGGGGAAAAACATAAATAAAATTGTCCATCGGTGCATCCACTCACTCTGTAATATTCTCAACTTTAGACTGCTACATTGGGTATTTACTAAGAGCTAATAATTATAATATCTCATATTATATATTGGTATACCTCTTGGTATTATTAGCTCTTGATAGTATTGTACCTTGCAGAGACATAGTTATGCTCACCATATATTCAAATGCAAAATTGGACATTAGAAAATTTATTTCCATATTGTATTACATAAGACAAATATACATAGTTAAATATAAAGACAGACTCACGTAAGGTGCTCCAGTGAGGATATTCCATGATGGCTAATGTTATATTGTATGATGCAGAAACTTGTGCAGGGGTGATAAAGAGAGTGTACTCCCCCCACTCTCCGAATTGAGTCGTCATACTGCAATAATCAAGTGCTGTTATGTTTTAATTACCATTACCAATTTACCCACACCACTACTACCAGTATCATTACCTGTGTACAGTGTGTATAGTGTGTATAGTGTGTATAGTGTGTATAGTGTGTATAGTGTGTATAGTGTGTATAGTGAGTGTATATTGTGTATATGCTGTATAGTGTGGTATCAGTGTGTATAGGTGTGTATAAGTGTGTAGTAGTGTGTATAGTGCTCGTATAGTGTGTATAGTGTGTATAGTGTCTGTATAGTGTGTATAGTGTGTATAGTTGTGTATAGTGTATTATAGTGTGTATGTGTGTATAGGTGTATATAAAACAGTGTGTATAATGTGTATAGTGTGTGTTCGTGTGGGGGGTGCGTGCATGCGTACGTGCGTGCGTGTAGCCACAAGTTGCAATTGCTCGGCTTCCTCACTACGTGGCTCTATGAGCTTGAAACAGTCATCGAAGCCTTGCCTACGATGTGAAACAGTCCCATCGAGCGTTCATACGATGTGAAACTCGTCCGTATGAGGCCTTCCTACGATGTGAACAGGTCATCGAGCCTTCCATACGATGTGAAGAAGTCATTCGAGAAGCCTTCCTACGATGGTGAAACAGTCTATGAGCCGTCCTACGCATGTGAAAACAGTCCATGCGAGCCTTCCTACGATGTGAAACAGTCATCGAGCTTCCTACGAGGGTGAAACGTCATCCGAGCCCATCTACAGATGTGATAACAGTCCTACGAAGCCTTCTTACGATGTGAAACAGTATCGAGCCTTCCTACAAGTGAAACAGTCCGTAGAGGCGCTTCCTACGATGTGAAAGCAGTCGTCGAGCCTTCTACGTTGTGAAACAGCTCCTTAGAGCGGCCTTCCTACGATGTGGGAAACAGTCATCGAGGCGCTTTCCTACATGTGAAAGCAGTGCGTATGAGCCCTTTCCTACGATGTGAAACAGTTCCTCCGAGCCCTTTCCTACGATGTGAAACAGTCCATCCGCGGCTTCGCTACGATGTGAAACAGTCGTAGTAGGCCTTCCTAACGATGTGAATACAAGTGCGTAGAGTCTTCGCTACGATGTGAAACAGTCATCGAGCGTTCCTATGATGTGAAACAGTCGTAGAGGCGCCTAATCCTACGATGTGAAACAGTCGTAAGAGCCGCTTCCTCACGATGTGAAAGCAGTCGTAGAGCCTTCCTACGCTGTGAAACAGTGCATCGAGCCTTCTCTACGATGTTGCAAACAGTCGTTAGAGCCTTCCTACGATGTGAAACAGTCCTCGAGCGCCTTCCTACGATGTGAAAACAGTCCGCTAGAGCCTTCTACGGATTGTGAAACAGTCCCGTCGAGCCGCTTGCCTACGATGTGAAACATGCGTAGAGGCCTTCCATACGATTGTGAAACAAGTCGATAGAGCCTCATCCTAACGATGTGAAACACGTCGTAGAGCCTTCCTACGATGTGAAAGCAGTCGTAAAGCCTTCTACGATGTGAAACAGTCGTAGAAAGCCGCACGCGCCCGCCTTTTTCCCCCCCCTAAAATCTCGCCT